TTTTTTTTTTTTTCACAGAAAAGTTCAAGCTATTCTTTTAGAGCTAAAAAATATTAAATGCTTCAAATTAAAACAATTACCCAATACATATTTTGAAACTTTATTTTAGTCTCTAGGAAGTTCTAAAATTAAGATTTTCCTTATTTATAACTATTTATACCCCTAAAACTTTTTATTTAGATTAAGGTTTTGCATAAAAGTTAAGTAGTTCATAAGAATTTCTTAGTTAAAATTTTATGAAGGAAAAGTCTCTTTGTGGTAACTACTGAGAATCACTGAAAATGTTAATTTATAGTGCTTGGTTAGTTCCTTTATGTAACAAGTTACCATACGTTTCCTTAACCTATGCACGAAGGTAAATACTTATTTAAAGAGTATTCAAGTAAGTGAAGAAGTTCCATATTTATACAAACTAGTTTTTTATATGTATTTCTCTTTTGAAAAAAGAAAAAGTAGAAGTACAGGGTTTTATTTCTCGTTTTACCTTCGAACTTTCATTTGTGATATAATACTTTTTCTAAAATTTCATTCAAAAAATTCATAATATTCCATACGAATGCATTTTATTAATATTTTAATAAAGTTAATTTTCAATATGTTGCGAGAATGCCTGATATATTTTCTAAGAATTAATTTGGAACAGAATTTCAATTTTGAACTCAATTTTCATATTTAAGATGCTTTTGTGTTTACTACTTCCATTTTTTTCCCCATAAAATACTTACTACTTTAAGAACTTTATCAGGTAATGATACATTAAAAAAGAAAACAGTCAAATGATATTATTCGTTTGCCTCACAGTAACGTCGAAAGTTTTATTTCTACAGAAAAAACCAATAATGCTACAAGAAAAGTAAGAAATATGATTAAAAAACATTAAAAAATATTCAAAAAATATTCAACCAACACATTACGAAATGAAGTTATACGTATAACGTGATAATAAAAAAATGGAAATGACATTGAGCTACACGAAAAGTATAAAAACAAAATTGTCTATTTTATGCATTTGAATGCTATTGCTTGTAAAAAGAGATTAGATAATTTCTTCATAATGTGTACTATTTTGAAACATATTAATTCTGATATTTTAAAATTTTATATATTTGCTGTTAAGATCATTGCAGTCTCGCTCATTTTATAGCAGTTAATCCGTTAATTGTGCTGCTTCTTGCTTTCATGAATTTCAAAACCTTTATCTTTTAAATACACCGAAGAGCCATTACATTATGACCCTCCATCTATAACAATGGGCTCGCCCAGGTTTTCATGGTTTCTCGCCCAGGAACAATGTTTTTATGGGGCACATTAGGACCCATAATCCTCATAGAGCAATCCCTGACGTCTGTAAACTACTTGAATATAGTTTCAGACCAGGTTCACCCATTCATGGCAACAATTTTTCCTGCGGGGGATGGTGTTTACCAACAGGATAATGCACAATGTCATAAGGGTTAAATCGTCATGGATTGGTTCGAGGAACATTCCAGTGGCTTTCAAGTCATGTCTTGGCCCCCAAATTCACCTGACCTTAATCCAATAGAGCATTTGTGGTCCTACTTGGAAAACCGAATTCGTGCTGCCACGCTACCCCCTCGCAATGTGAGGGAATTGCAGGACTAGTTGGTGAGCGCTTGGTACCAGATACCTCAGACTACCTATCAGCACCTTGTGGAATCAATGCCACTGCGGGTGCTAGCAGTTTTGAGGGCTAAAAGTGGTCCTACATGTTATTAGCAGGGTGGTCATAATGTAATGGCTCTTCGGTGCATTTTTAATAATTTACAATAATTCATAATTATTTATGAGGATAATAGTTACTCATTTAAGACGTTAATCCTTTTATTTGTTTAAAAGTTGCAACCTATCTGTGTTTGAATATTTCGTTCTAAGTTCTAATCGTATTTACAATACGATTAAGTAAAATTATAATTCGAAAATTCGATTTCTTGTTTTTCCTTTTTGGTTGAAAACGTTATGCTACTGAAATTCAATTGCTGTTAGGGAAATGTAAAAAAAAAAAATTAATTCAGTAAGTGCATAAATAGTTTTCTTAAAGAAAGTGGTTACTTTCACTCTCATATAACGAATAACTAAGCACTATACATTTTCGGCTTTTCTCCAAGTTTTTTAAAACAGTGAGATTTTCTTTATATTTTCTAGACTAACTTTCAATTATTTGAGATGCTTGATTTAAAATTGGCTAATATTTTTGTTTTCTTTATTATTGAAAAGGGCAAAACAGAAACTAACCAATTAAAACTTATAAACGAAGAGAAACAAACTAATGAATTTTAAATTTATTATCTAATTAATGAAAATGAATTTTTCTTTATTTCGAAAACCTTACAAATAATAAACTATAAGTGCCGAAATATTCATGAAATAGTTTGTTTTGTTAATTTTGTAATTAGTGTTTAGATATTTTTTTTATAATTACGTATTATTTTTCATTAAAAAAACATAACGTAACCCTAAAAGAAGGAAATTTTTCTTTTTTTCTTGCTAAAACACCATCAGCTTTGCTCGAAATATTTTTTATATATATAAAACTCAGAGCATTATAATAATAAAATCTATCTTAAAAATAATTCTTTCCAATAACATTAAAAACATTTATCCTTAACTAAATGCTTTCATTTGTTTAAATTATACTGAACTTGAAAATAAATTATATAAATAATACTTGCGTTGGTGTTTAAATTACACTGAATCCAAGGTGACTAAATTGTCAGACATTATTACTGAAGTAAAAAAAAAAAATACTTAAAGTCATTAAAATCAGAGCAACTTATTATCCAGGTAAATCATAGCCTAACAGGATTAAAAGCATCAAATCTACTTATTGATGCTTTTAATCCTGTAGGCAGATAAAACTAAGAGGCAGATAGTAGATAAAACTAACCTGTAGGCAGATAAAACTAACCTGTAGGCAGATAGAACTAAGAGGGGTTCCCAATAATAAATAGTTTGTATCCCATTTTTGCAGCAGTAGATTTTATTAATAATTATTCCGATTTTGAAACTTATTTATTTTATCTTTAACACTTACAACCCTTAAAATACGTGCATTTATTTTATTTTTGATAAGGATTTTAAAAAAAAACCTGCTTACATTTCTACAGAAATATTTAAATTGTAAAAAAAATCTTTGAAATTTATGGAAAAAACTACAAGCTGGTGTGCCAGTATCAAACCGCCTTTTTCACAGAAAAATGCTATTATTTAAAAACGGACACCGTATTTTTAAGCAGATAAATTCTGTTATCAAGCAAACTTCGCTATTTTTACAAAAAAATCTTTCTTATTATTTTAAAATAAAATTCTGTTATTTAATAAAAGAAATTCTATCAATAACTATGATAGCATTTTGGTCGATGAGAGACGTGAAAATACAGAGAATGTTTTTTAAAAAACGGGAATTTTTTACATTTCGCTGATAACAGTAAAAAAAAATCTGTAATTTTCTGTATTAAATCTGTAAAACTCTGTATTCTGTGTAAAATCTGTATTATTAAAAAAATCTGTTATTTTCTGTTAAAAAAATATTCTTCCTTTGTAAAATGTGCAGTTATTTTATTACAGTGAGGAAAAAAACTTAGTTTTGAAACTAAAACACTTCTTTTAATAGTAATATTTAAAACTTACTTCTAAATGAAGATCATTATTTTCGCAGCAAACTGTGGATTGAGAGAGACATATTATGAATGTATGCCATCCTGTACAAATGTATGCAATCCTCCTGATGCCTGTGCAGCTGTCTGTCGTCCAGGATGTTTCTGTCGTAAAGATTTAGTTCTCAGGGAGGATGGACATTGTGTGAAGAGAGAATTTTGCGGACAAAGTGGACAATCTACCTGCGATATAAATGAACAATATTATGACTGTATTCCAGACTGCGGAAATACATGCAACTCTTATGGAAGAACAGATATTTTGTGTCCAGAAATTTGCAAACCTGGATGTTTTTGTAAGCCTGGCCTAGTTTTAAACGACGAAAATAAGTGCGTTAAACCTGAGTTCTGCCCAAGACCGGGTAAGCTTTGCAACGTTTTTTGTTTTGATTTATTTTATTTCTTTTGCGAAAGAATTGCTTTTCTTGCACATTAATAATTACTTGAATTATTGATATGGATTGAATATCTTTCATATATTGAAAAGAATAAAGCTTCATAAATACATGTTCGTTATTTAAAGTTAAAAAGAAATAGTTTGGTTAAGTTTCAAAATGTTTATGTTTAGTTTCGTCAAAACCTTTATGTTAAAGTTTTTTTTTCAAAACGTAATGTTTAAAAGATTCAGATATTTTATAGGTTGCCCAAAAGTCACATATAAATTAAATCTCTATTTATAAATGAATTTAACAAAGTTGAAAAGAGAGTAAAGACTCCAAAGAAATATAGAATATATTATCTTGCAAAAATCATATCTTACATGAGGCTAGTAATCTGATGACACAATTTGCAATGATATTTTTTCACAGAAAATATCCCCACTTATTTTAATAAGACGTCGAATTAAATTCAAACCTGTTTGGTATGCAATTGCTTTAAATATTGGACTTAGTTCATAAAATATCAGAAAGAAAAGTTACATTTAATGAATATGCTGCACAATAGCTATGTAATAATGAATAACTACCATCCATGGTAAAATATGTAAGCTCTTTATCAAATTTCTGTTCTTTAATAACCGGGGCGGGACCTGTAAATTGTTTCATTCTTGCCGAGGAGATATGCTCTATGTCTGAAATATTCCTTCTCCTTGCACGCAGACACTGAGAAGATAAATTTCAGACACGGCATGTTGTATTGTCAGGCAAACACGGTATGAGATTTCTGTTGAAGGTAAAGGCTTTATTTATTTATTTAGTTTTTCTTTATAAACGGCGGTGGACTGCCAACCCGATTTTGAATTTATAGCAAAGACAAGGGAACTCCTGGATCAAGTATTGGAACAAACTTGCCTTCGATGGAACTAACCCACATTTGCGCTATATGGAAAGGAAAAGTACGAAAACCTCCCATGGTTTGTTCGAGAATAAGAGGAGAACAACTAGGAGGCAACGGTTCTACCACTGAGGATATTATAAGTCAACACTGTGGTCAGTGCGAATCGGGAGTAGAATTCGTATCAACCATCCACTGCTTAGATTCGAAGGTGAGTCATCTCGTTGGAAGTGAACGTTCTATCACCTGAGCCACCACGTTTAGAGGGTTAAGGCTGGCTCTTTTCGTAAGATAGCTGAGGTGGTGGATATTAGTTAAAACCAACTTGCAAGCGAAAACTAATTTTTAGTTCAATGAGATCGTCAAACCGAAACAAGGTCTTCACAAAAATACATAAATAGGTCAATCTGTGATCAACAATTCTGGAATCAGAAGCTTATCTCGTATTTGCCACACAGTACACCTCATGCATATAATATCCTTGATCGGATTTGGAATCGAACACATGACAACTAATTTTCTCAATCAGAAATGTGAGTTATATTTCAACTAATAACGCTAAAAAGGCACATCATTTTCTTCGATGTGATTGTGATTGCTACATATTTTTCAGAATGCGTCACAAACCATGTTTAAAAGAGAATCCTTATTTTCATATTTTATAACCCACATTACTTTACAAAGTTTTTTCTCATTTTAGCGATGATTCTAAAAAATGTATCATAAAGTTTTTCTCCATGCATTAGTTTTAAAATGTTCATTTCCTTGGTGTTTAATCAAAGATAGTTTGTATCAAGAATTTAATTGATAATGCAGTAGTTTTCTTTTTCTTCATTAATTTAAAAAAAACTTGCATTTAGCAAACATTTTAGAAATTATGTTTATAAAACAACTTTTATTCTAATGGGGTTCCGCTTAATTATAAATTTTAATAATGACTCAGAATTTTTTAAAAGTTTTTTTTAAATTTACACAAATAAAATAAATGGTTTTCTGTTAGAAATCTCTTGCAATTTTCTTGCTGATTTCATGACATTTACAATTAGTATGTAAACTATTATGAAAGATTGCAACTTGGACGTCAATGGGTTAATGTTTCATTTCAATTAGATATCATTATCATCAGACTAAATTATTTAAACATCATCATTAGACTAGATTATTTAAAAGTAACAGACAATATTTCTTTCTAGTTAGAGAATGCAAGAACCCAGATCAACAATACTACGATTGTATTCCTGATTGTACCAACACATGTGACAACTTCGGTAAAACTGTGGCGTGCCCGAAAATTTGCAAACCTGGTTGCTTTTGCAAGCCTGGTCTTGTCTTGAATAACGAAAATGTTTGTGTGAAACCAAAGGAATGCCCTAACTCTGGTATTATAACTATAGTTCCTTTTTGCCCTTCTAATGTAAAAAATTATTTTAAAATTATTAAAAACCGGACAAAAATTGATAAATGTTTACAAAAATAACGCAACTTACATCAAGCATCTCAGCTACGGCATCAAGTATCCAAGCAAAATAAAGCAATTAACCATCCCTGTATTTCTGGAAACATTTCAAATTTTTAAAATTTTGATAATTTCGCCAATGATCCATTAAATGACCCATTTTCTCCTAATGTTTGAAAATTTATTTTAATTTAATTGATACATATTATCAGGGGTTCTTACAATATCTCCCCTTCCACCATACCCACTTTCATATCTTCCATATTTTGTTCTTATTTCTCTACTCTTATCGTATAATCCCTTTTCATCTTAATTGAAAATTATGTGTTATTTCGTCTACACTCTGAGTTTTTCTCTTTAATTATGTGCTTCGATACCGAAGAAATTAAAAAATATCCGTATTAACTTACAGTAAAAAGTACACGCACTCAGAATAATTTTTACCTCAGAATCCATTTTACCGTGGAATTCTATGGAGAAAAAATTTATGAACTATAATTCTTACAGTAATGTTTACTTTAAAATCACTAAATCACCGTAATTAAATAAATATTACTGTTAAATTGACGGTATAAAATTTTACAGTAAAATCGGATATTATGGATGATACACTCAGTGTGCCAGTAACTTTTACCGTAATTTGATCCAGAATTATTTATTGTGTGCTTCGTTATTCTACTAAAATGATCATCCGTTTATTTGCGCTTTATTTTTTCTTATCTTTTCATGGTGTATTAGTTTTATTAACTTAACTAGCCATATCCGGCGAGTGTTGCAACGCCTTCAATCTGAATTGTATTTGAAAGAAGCTTCGTGCATCGAAATTAAAATAATTTGCATAATTTTAATGTGGCTTTTTGTTCATATGTTAGGCAAAAAAACTTGACAATTTCACGTTTCCTTGTTATTATGCTTATTCAAGTGCTTTTAAAACTCAATATTAATTTGTCTTTTCGTTCTTTCCCGTTGCTCGGAAGTTTCTAATTTCTCACATTACTCCTAACTGATTATATGGAAGTAATAACTTCATTATGAATTTCAAAATTATTAGGAAATTATAGACGATGCTGGGTAATATTCGCATACTCATAATGTTACAAAGTCCTTTGTTATGTGGCGTATGACTCAAAATAATTGAATCAACCTCTTTTTTTACCTCTCCTTCGTTAATACTAGCATACTTCTTAAGGATGTTTTATTTAAGCAGGTAGGCTAAAAAACTAACATTTCACTGTTTTAATGGCTTAAATTAGTAGCAAATTTTCCATTCTAAATTATATATACAATCTTGCTGAAAAAATTATTGGCTTTAAGACTTACAACATTTTAAAATATTTAAAAAGTTAGAAAAAACTTTTAAGTAATTGCCGATTTTGTGAAGAATTTTTCGACTGGAATGAAGATTATTAAAATGAATAAATAATTCTCAATTTTCCCACATTTTTATGATTCATACGATGCAGTGTTTAAGTAATTTTTCAAATATTAAAAAATTACATAACAGATGCCATAATCGTAATATACATTTACCATATACTTTTTTTTATTTCGACATTTAACGAAATTTACATGAACATTATGGTAGGTGCTAGATAGAGATGGGAAAATTTTCTATCTAGCGTTCATGAACAGTTGCTAAGAATTCACAACAGTTGTTGGTTGGTTGGTTCTAATGCCACCTGCCACACGGGCAAGCCTGCTTAGTGAAAACGAGCAAATTTAATGCAGACTGTGCGCTACTTGTTTTTCAGTGGAGTCATCTATGGCCTAGAATTCGACTTCTGCCACACCATACGTCACACCCGTTTATAGGGCGGACCCATTCATACATCCATTCATTCGTCCACAGATCGTAATTTTGACCTGAATCAGAGAACGATCAATCTCCAATCCAGAACCCCCAGAGGTATTGATTTGTTATGGGAACATGGAGGACTTTAGCGACTCGACAGATTTAACGTGCATCAGTCACTTTACTACACGGGGAGTCTTCGGCCGGCAGGGTTCGAACTCTCGGACATGGGCCCAGCGCCCTACCGACCAGGCTATCCCGGCCTACAACAGTTGTGAAAATAGAATATTATAGGCTAAAAACAATTATTTAACTAGACCGAAGAGCCTTTAGAAGATGGCTATGGGATACATGTTATGAAAATTTTGCATAGTATAAATCCAAGATATTGTAAATTACTTTATAATTTAAAATAGCATTTAAGTAAAATGCAATCAATATTTTTTATTGGGCATATTAAAAATTATTAATGTATGTTGTATATTTATCAGGTTTTTGTAAAGATAAAACCATGCAATATTATGAGTGCACTCCCAGCTGCAAAAATAACTGTAAAAGCTGGTTTAATCCTGGAATTCGTTGTGGTTGTGGTCCACCAGGATGTTTCTGCAAACAAGGACTTGTAAAAAGAGAAGATGGACGGTGTGTACGTCCAGAACACTGCAAAAAAAGTAATTAAAAGAAATTATTTACTAATTTAATGACATTTTTAAATAAGATTTTTAAGATTGGAAGCTGAATGCAATGGAGGTGAAAAATAAAAACTAAATTTAACAATGTTCCTTCAAATACTTCAAACAAAATTGTTTGATTCGGTTTCCAAAAAAAATAATAATAGAAATAATAACTTTTTACTGCTGTTTTGTTATTCCTCTAAAAATCTCTGGACTTAACAAAAAATTTGAGAATTAGGTAACATTAACAGTTACATAAACATTTTTTGTCATTAGTAACTAAGCTACAGTGGTATTTTATACAATTACTAAATTCTAATCTTTAACGATAATGTCGGCAAAAAATCAAAATGATTTGCAAGTGACACTTAAGGTAAACTTAGTAGAAACTGCTGCTAAGCGTAATGTTTTAAATTCATTATTTTAAGTCCATCATTACGATGAACATAAAAGTTTTTTCAGTATTTGCTGAAATTTTCAATTTGAAACTAAAGACTACATTTTCGATAAATTTGCTTTCAAAAGGTTAATTTTGAATGAAAAATTAGTAAGATATAGTATGAATGTTTTTAATAAAATATCACTTTTTATTATTTCTAGAAATTGTGAATATGCTTATAATGTTTATTGAAAATTAATTTAGTATTAATGAAACTTTCAGTTACAATTAGGTTAGAAATTTTAAAACGTTGTGCATTGTAATATTGAATTAGCATTGTTTCCTTTCGCAGATTTGTCGTATTTTAATAAACAAGAAGTCTATAGTTTTTCTTCTTTTTTTCAGCTGGTCATCATGGTTCTGATACCTCAGGTTCTGAAACATCTTCTTCATCTCAAACCAGTATGTAGACTATTTAGGTGTTTCTTTTAATTAAAAAATGCAATTACTTATATAGAAAAAATTTATGTATATGTATTTTCACTTTAGGTATAAAAATTTTTTTATCAGTCAGCAGTTCTTATATTTTAAATAACATTTTAATTAAATTTTAAAAATTACTTTTAACGAAACCTTAGTGAAATTGATTAAAAGTTCAGCATTCTGCAGTATTTTAAATGCACTTTTTTAAACTACCTCAAATTATAAAACAAAATTAAATTTTCCTGCTGTATAAAGGTGTTTAATATCCATTAAACTGCATTCCATTTATTTAGTTTGAAAGCATTAATTAATAAAATACTTAATGTGATAATGATTATTAGTAGACGAAAATATGTAAAAAAGAGAAAAATTAAGCCGTTAACTATAATCTTATTATTAAAATAAGCATATGATAAGTAGTATTGTATAACAAAAATTAAAACAAAATTTATTTTTCGCAAAATAAATAGTTATTTTTGAATACGAAATGCACACAACTTTATAAGTTTCTACAGAGTTTGGGTAGATTCTCGAACTAAGCATACGCTAATACAATAATATTAAGCATGAATAAACAAAAAGAAAATTTCAGATTCATCTGAAACTGAAACAAATTAATAATTGTCACGAAAATTATGAGAAGTGTTTTTTATATAACATAGGGAGTCACATAGAATAAAGTACCATTACTTTAGCGCCATTGCTTTGTTACACAAAGTGCAATAACTTTGTCTAACAAAACTCAATTATTTTTTATTCGCTAATTTTAATGTAAAATAATCGTACTTTTATCAAAATTATTTTAATGTTTATATTGTAATAGAATAACAACAAAATTTCCTCGATGTCAATTTGTATTTATTATAAGAGTTATCTGAAACTTAGGATTAGAATTTTATGGCAAAACTTTGTATAAATATTTTTTCCTCAAAAATTAAATATTCATTTTTAAAAAAATTTATTGTTTAGTTACGAACTATTAAACAGACGCCAAAATTTAAACTTCTTGCAGTAAATTGCTTTAAATTTTTTTTTAGCTGAAAATTATGATGAAAGCTCTAGTGACAGAACTACATCTAGATCATCTTCTTCTCAAACTAGTGAGTTTTTATTTTTAATGCAAATTTAATAATATAAATATTCAAACATTTTATGTTTTGAAATTATGAAAATATTTCATATATTGTTCTCAAATGTTCAAACTTTTGAATACAAAGTATTTTAGATTTATGCGTATTATTTTAGAAACTTTTTAATGTAAATCACAATACAAATAATTTAATCGTATTACTGCATTGTAGCATTTTTATCCAAACTTATTAATGTGAGTTAATTTATCCATATAGCTGAAACTTGTAATCATATTCTAGAGGTGGGACTTCATCAAGATCATCTACTTTTAATTAAATGCACGATGAAATCTTGCAATCAAAATTTCGACCTCTTTATGACTTTACTTAAGTTTTAACTGTAGCTCCATGCCTTATGACAATGCACGTTTAAATCGTTTCTTGACCAATACCAGTAGATTCTAAAGCCATTTTATAGCCAAATCTAAATTACCATCATAAATGAGAATTCCGAGCCATTTAAGACAAATTAGAACACTTAAATAATATAGAAATCCGTATGTAATTACAATATTATTTTCAATTTTCAATAATTTTTTTACTGCTGCAAGCAGATTCTAATGTGACAATAATACCAAACAAATTGTTACCATTTTAAAATTATCTAAAACATTAACATCAGTTAAACTACCAACAACCCGAATTTCGTTGCACCAACCAGACTTCACCAAATGAAGTCACTTAGTTCCTTGCAGCTGGGAAAGAAATATAGCCGAAAGGGCTAATTTGTCAAACTTATGACCGGCAGAATTAGGGGTTCGGGTTCCAGCTTTGACACCCTAATGTTTCCTCCATTCCCTTCAATACATGAAGAGTTCCCAGTGTCCTGCACTTTTGAATTTGTTCAAATCAACTATTAGAACACGATACTCTTATATTTACTCAAAGATAGCAGCATAATGTCCGGTTAATTCTTTTTTTTCCTCAGGTTTTGAAACCATGCTAGTTGTAAATGGTTAAAAAATACAATGTAGTTTTGTATTCATCGTTTTTTAACCAGGCTAGTTGTAAATTGTTTCAAAAATATAAGGGTAAAAAATATTCTTTACTGTAAATTTTACGTTTAATTGAATAAACGGACTACTGCCGGTTATTTTACCATAATTTTAGAACGAAAATTCCAGCAGTGTACTACTGTTTTTGTTAGATTAAAATCGGGGAATTAATTACTTTCGTGATAATTTCTATCACTATCAAAAGTCTGCCACGTCTTTTAATAATGATCCACCCCACGTTTTTCATTTTCTGTCGGATAAAAAAAAAATTCTCCTTTTTGTTCCAAATTTTTTAAAACGAAGTTATTGAAATTTTTATTTTATTTATTCTTTGAAGTCAAGTCATTCGAACTAATCGGCAACAAAAATTTAAACTTTCTCTGTTACTTTTAATCTGTTTTATCTACGTTAAAACAAAATAAAAAAATACAAAAATCAAAATTTTTTTTCTCTTATCTTTTTGAAGGTTTGAATTTATTCTTTAAAACATTTTTGAATGTTTTAAAGAATAAATTCAAACCGTGCCTTAAATTAGCTCGTATAAGTAATAATCATACCGAGTGTCTCTAAAAAATTCATTTAATGAAAAACCTATCAAGGAAAATGAACAGTGATAAAAATGTATAGTATGCGGCCTTCAGCTAAAAAAAAAAAATTTAAAAAAAATTTAAAAAAAAACAGATTTTATTCACATTGAAATAAAGCCTTGTCTAGAGCCCGGCTTTAACTTTTTCAACCAAAAGAGCTTATTACCAAATTATAAAACAGTGTTTTTTTCTGCTTGTTAGTTCATTTCTACTCAAATGCTCGTAAATTTTATACTTTATTTGTTTATTTTTAAAAATGGCAGTTATTTTGAAAACATAATTTTACATTTTTTAAACGTTCATACTACCATCTGCTAACAAATCTCGTAATTAATATTGAAACTTGTTGAGAATAAATAACTTAAACCTCTAAGCAGAACGCAGCAAATTACCCATTATTTCCGTCTCCTCCCATTTTTCTTCAATTGGTTTCTCAAATCATCAGTCATTTTTGGTGCATCCGCTATCTTAGTTAGGAAATTCTTAGCAATTTGTCCGCTTATTGTACGACATTTAATGTAAACACACAAAATATTATGAAAATAATGTGACTTAGGGGTAAAAGACTTTAATAATCTCTTGAACTTTTCATTTCTTAGCATAGTAATATTTTTTAAATCTTCATTTTTTTTTGTAAAATTATTTACGTACATATAATTTTGTTACAGCCGGATACAGTGATCAGAATTTTGTTGGTAGCAGATCATCGCAGTCCTCGTCTACTCAAAGTGGTATATAACTTATTTATATTTATGTTTTTCAGAAGAAAAAAAATTCAGAAAAAAAAATAGGAATTTGAATATGTGCTAAAATAATTTTTCTACAGTTCGCAACATTTAAAATACATCAACTGCAAATTTTAGAGTTATTACATCATCTTGTGACCATATTAGAAGAAAAATTGGGTTAAGAAGTAGTACAGCAAGTAATAAAGCAAGTAATATGGAGCAGTACAGCAAGTAATATGAAGCAGATTTAAAATCATTATTGAAATTCATTCAATGGAGAAGTTTCACAGCATAGCAAACATCGATTGAAAATAGTTAAAATAAAAATCGAAAATAGTTTTAAAAAAAGGCGCGGACAACAGCTACATGGTAAAAAAAAATTTTTTTAATATATAGTTAAAAACTAATTAAGGTGTTAGGATTGATGGAGGGGTTAAAAAATTAGAATATTTAAATACAGTTGTGCTTAGAATTCGGCTTGGTTACGATTAAAGTTTAAAAGTTGTACAAGATAGATTTGAAAGGTGACCAAGCTGGTCGCCAAAGGCGGCAGGTAGATCTATATTTGTATGAAACTTCTTCCTTATAATTTAATATTTTTCTTATTCCCAAGTGATTTGAATTCTTAATTAGGGTAAAGAAACAGAAAAGTACAATTTCAAGTATTTGTTTAATCAAAAATAAGTTTGTCCCTACATTAAACAAATTAAGCGTCTAAGTATTTAAGTTTAACCCAATTATTTTAATCAGCTGCTGGTAAAATCTGTCTTCACTTTTTAAATAATTCCTTCAGATCTTCTCCCTCCATCGCTTTTGTGATATCCACAGCAGTTATGGTTGGCGGTGTGCTCTTAATTCCTTCTCTATTTCTGGCACACCCTATAGCTCGTTCAATCACTTCAGCAGCAACATAGTCAAGAACAGCCGCAACACTGATAGCTGCCTCTTTCGTAAAGTCCCGGTCTTTTATATGTTCTTTCATGTAGTCTTCGACTCCTTTAGAAGATATGAAAACTCCACTGCCTGTAGAATCCTTTTTTCCTGATTTAGGCATCTGATGAAAAAAAATATATATATATTATTAAATATTTAATATACTGATGTTGGTATAGATAAAATGTAAAGAGATTTAGCGTATTTGAAAATAAAATTAGCACCTTTTGCTTTTTGATTGAAAGGGTTTGAAGATGAGGACGTAATAATTTATTTTTGATAACATAAAACTAGTGTTGGAGCAATACAAATTTAATTTTCCCTTACCTTGTCACAGTTTTTTAAAGCTGTGCTCAAAAATTCATCTATGTATATTCGTATCATTAATATCGTTAGGGTATCTATTTTTAGCAATTAAGAATATTCTCCAATTTTTTAAAGAGTTGTTTTGTCTTTCAGTTAACAAAATAAAAAATAAAATCTGATTGCGATTTTAGTTTCTTAACCTAACAAGTTAACACCCTTCATCTCAACAAAGTCGTCGCTACTTAACGTATTAGCCTTCAAGCCCCTTCTTTAGCGACAATTAAATAGTGATAACAAAGAGTGCAGTAAAACAATCTATATTCGTGTCATGATTGCTTACGTAACAAAATCACAATACAGTTAACTTTTAGTAAGAGTTGGAATCATTTTTATTTTGATAAAAAAAATATTGGGTTTTTCAGAAATCATCAAATTGTTTAATGTTTAAGAACTCGTTATGAATTGTTTAATCGGAATTTTTACAGAGATTTCTGCAGAATTCTTCGAAATTTCTACGGAATTATTTTACGAATTATTTTTCTGTTGAAGTTTAAGCACTTTTCTGTAAGATGGGAGCAAGTAAATTAAAAAAAAATATTTCTTATCTTTTTTATTTATTTGTATTTTTAACGTAAAACTAAATGTACTTTCTGCCCCCCACCCAGCAAAAAAAATAAATAAATAAAGGGAAAAAAATTGAACTTAATTGAGCCTGACGAACCAAAAAGTAGAGAAACTTACATTTAATCCTTAAAAAAAAAAAGATATTACTCTAGGACTCAAAGCGGTGTGCTGTGTGGAGCATGGCGTGATTTGAAAATTGTTATAAATATCAAAATAATACGAAGGTATTTTTCTGTCAATTGGGAACCACGCAAAAATCTGTATTAAATCTTACGTTAAAACATCTGACAAGTTTGAATAAACCGGTATGTGGCACACTAAAAAAAATATTAAAAAAATTACAGAGAAATAGGCAAACTTGAGTGTTAAATTTGTAAGCAAATCTGGATAAGCCATTACGATTCTTTAATATTTTGCAAGTACAACAACTGGGCAACTGTACTTTGACAATTGCAGTTAGTGTTATTAAGATCTGATGCAGGAATGTCCTTAATAAAAATAAAAGTACGTCAGAAACGAATAATCTGCTGATACGGTAATAAAAAAATCTATAAAATATACTACTATACATTATAGGGGAATATTTAATCTTGTGAATCCGATCTATGTCGTCAATATCTAGGATTGCAGATCAAAGGTGCCAACACTTTGACAAAAAAAAACTATGAGGGCAAAAAAAATCAGTTAAAATTGATGAGCACTCCTAATTCCGCCTAGTTAAAATCAGATAATTAAATTCATGCAAGGTAACAGATCTCACAACCACCATAAAGAAGAGAAAGATATCATTACAATTGCAGACAAGGTAACATCCTAACGTTACCAGAGATGCTGAATGCTCCAGATTCAGCAAAATATTTTAAAAAATAGTAGAGAGCCAAACAAAAATTTGCAAATTTTCGGTTAATCTTGCTAACTGTTTAAAATGCCGAACACGGCGTAACTGTAACAAACTGGCATATCACATAAGAATTTGAATTATTTAGAAAGTAGTAGTAAGTAAAAAAATTAAAAAAGCGGATTTACTGAACCAAGAATCATACACTGAAAGATTACCACTCAAAAATACTTATTAGCTATCCAGACTAAGTTGGTATCTCTGCTTTGCAAGCTTAGTTCAATTTTGAAAAATGCCGCCAAACCCGAAATGTGTTTTCGCTAAACTATTGCCAACGATTGTCGAAAAGAATAGGTGTTGACAAAAATATTGAAAATCGTAACCTGAAAATGGTAAATACACAAACGTGCCATGAAAATTAAAAAAGAAAAGCATTAACCCACCTAATCTCGCCAAATCTACAACTACAGAATGCCAACTTTATCGCCCTCCTAAGCATCGTCTATATTGCTGATTCCACGAGTAACGTATTATTATAGGACCGAGCCTACTAGTTATAAGGAATAAAAATACGTTCATAAATATCGCAAAAAATAGGGTACTTATTTTATGTATAGAACCTTATATAAAGATATGTATAGAACCGCTGTGAAGCATAGCAATCCGCTGTGATCACGAATCAGTACTTCTCCTTTACAGCACTAGTACAATATAAATATTTTAGTACATTCAACTTCTCTAGTGTACTAAACATTATATTTGTAAATAGATGTACGTGTAAAAAATTACTAGTTTTCAGAAATTGAAAAATTATTTATGCTATCCTTTGCTTGTTCCAGTAACGGAACACATTTTTAGTTCAACGGTTTAATGGGTTCCGACAGTTGTGTACCCATTTTATACATGCTTCAAAAATAAGATTTATTAATTTCTTAGAATCAGAAGTTAGTAATTTTCTAAATTAGCAAAATAATACTTTTTTTATTATAGCACTTACCCTTGTAATATATGTTTGGAATTAAAAATAATTACAAAATTTCAAATCTATTAATTTTATTTAAAACTTTTTCCAGAAGAACACTCTTTAAAATAAAATTTACTGTGGATTGTTATTGGCTGAATGTATATAGGTAAGCATGTAGCTTACATTTAGAAAAAATTAAACTAGAAACTAATATCTTTTTTCCACAAAAAACATACTTAAACTTCTTTCTCATAAAAATCACGAACAAAATTCTAAAAATATCAAATATAGAGCTACGTGGAATATTGTAATTGGGTATACTATAGCCTACGTCACAGATCGTGTTATGGTTATGGTTATGGTTATTCCTACTAAATTTAACTAGTAAACAGCATTTTCTGCGAACCTGATTTCTAGCAACAAGTAAAAGCATCAAACGAAGTGTCTTGTTATAAGTCGCTACTCGCCAGGTTGGAATTGTATTAGTCTAGTTCCTTTGGAAATAATTTATATTGTTGTTTTACCGAAGTTTATGAATTTAGTAAGCATATTTAAAACTCAGTTTATTAATTAAACTAAAAGGTAAATGTTATTCCTAGTAAGTGGAAGTAGTTGTGCTTTTTTCATATTATACCCAATTGAATGTCTAAAATGACTTTTCATAAAGAAATATTTGATAGTTTATAAGAACGAAGATGAATGTTTTAAACTATAGTTAAATTAATATTTTCAATTTATGATAATTAATAAGCATATTGAGGGTTTTTAGTACAAATATTTTTGTCGTTGTTGTTGTTGTTAATTTACGTCGCACTAGAGCTGCACAATGGGCTATTGGCGACGATATTTTTGTTATATATGCTACTTTTAATTCATTTCTTTGTCCTTAACCCTTCACTCCACACTTTTTAAAATTGAATAATAATAATTTTTTTGTGTGCTGGATTGTTAAGGAACAAAAAAAAATCACTTACAATTTTTTGATGGGAGAAGGGAAATTTTTTTTCACTTTGCATATCGATAAAACTACTTGCACATTGTTATAAATTCACTGATACACAACGTAAATGTCATGATAAATACAAAAGTATCAATAAAAGCCCTAAAATATAAGAAATGAAGTGACTGAGGCTTGACACAGGGTAGATTCAGAACATCAATTATCCCTCTAACCGATATGGCAGTAGTGACTTTAAATATGGTAATTAATGTGTGCAGACGATATTTTAAGTTACGAAATCAAACACGAAAACATACTTTCTCTGAATAAACATTCCTTTTGTACGACGGATTCAGATTTCTGACCCCCAAAATGTAGATGGTAGTCGCAATCTGGGAAAAATGGTCCAAATAGTTTGAACAGGAGAGCACTCCAAAATTTGGACCCCTTAATGTTAATTTTACTTTCTACGCACTTCGTTACGTCTCGAGAACTTTGCAAGTGAATTGAAAAAAAATTGTACTCATTTATAAAATTTGTTTATCCAAGCATAATTCCATGGAAAAATTTATCATTTTTTATTAATATATTTAATAATGGTCGAAAAAATTCTTAATTATAAGGTATATTTTTTTTTCTTCATGTCAAAGAAAATAATTTTAAATTTCAACTGATTTTGCTCAAATTTCGTATTTTGCTATGTAAAGATTTATATTTTAAAATTATGCAAAAAATTTTGAATTATAAGGTATAATTTTTTTCTTCATATCAAAGAAAATTATTTTAAATAGTAAAACACAGAATTTGAGCGAAATAGGTAAAATAGTTCCTGGGCAATTGATTTTTAAATATCTGACTTTTTTGAAATTCAATTTCTCGGTAACTTTTCAACTGATTTTGCTCAAATTTCATATTTTACCATGTAAAAATATATTCTTTAAAATTATGCAAAAAATTGTATACATTACAATTGAAATTTTTTTTGAACATCATTAAATAAAACAATAAATAAAAAATATTTACTAACATTTATTTTTTGCTTGAATTATCTTTAGATAATCGAATTTTATAATTGTGTGCAAATTTTTTTAACTTCGCTTACAAAGTTCTCGAGATATGGTGTTATACACAAAAAGTTAAAGTAACAAAAATTAATTAAGAGGTCAAAAGTTTAGTCCGCTCTACTGATCAGACTATTAAGACTATAATTTCCAGATTGCGGCTTCCCCTTACATTTTGGGGGTCAGAAAACTGAATCGATCTAGAAAAAAAAGGTATGTTTATGCAGAGAAAGTACGTTTTTATATCTGATTTCGAAACTTCGTCTGCACTTAAATAATTAGCATATTTGAAATCACCCATTTGAACCATTAATATTGAGTATTAGAACGTGAAGATCAGATCATTAGATCAAAAGTTATTCAGGTTAGTTTGCTTTTATTTTGAGGACTGTACATAAAAACCAAGTCCTCAGTTGTTTGGATGGTACTTTCAGACGTAAAATAGCCATAAGTCAAGATTTACTTTGCACACATGAAATCAATACGTTTATAACGTCATTATAACTCTTATAGCATCTAAACCATTAATTTTATCGACTTGGTTTTGATCTCATTCGATTTGGAGTAAGAAAACATATAAACAATTTCTGACTTGATAACAATGCCTGGCGCGTAAATAAGTAGGTATAAGCAAAAAACTGTACATTTCACTCACAAAAACTTTTGTAACTTATAAATTAATAAATCTATTGATTTTGTCTTAGTATCATTTAATTTAGTGCAAAAATTACTCAGAGAACAATACCTCAACCTCACTTACCTAATAATTAAATAGCAATGTCTTACTTAAATAGTCTAATTTAAGTCTTACTTAAATAGCAATGCTAGATACACAAATAGGTCTAAATATTAGACGGTACATTTTGTATCTAAAACCTAAATAACTTCTAAATTGCAATCGTACAGACTTGACATTTTCCTTCTCTTTCAATTAGTAAAAAAATGCATCAGAATGCTAATAAAATTAATCTGAAGACTTTCGCAAAAAAATTCTGAAGAGAATTTGAGGATATTTGAGCCACTTTTTAAGCCTACTTTTTCTTCATATTTTCTACAAATTTTATTTTTTATAAAAATCTTTATGAATCTTTTACAAAAAATCTTCAAAATCAGAAATTTAGGGAATGAATTCTCTATGTTTTCTGTAAAACTATTAAAAGATTCTTTAAAGACTGCCATTGATTCAGAGACATTGGAAATACTAGATATTTTATATTAAAAAGCTCTGTGGTAGTGTGGGCTACCCGCATGCGTGACTGAGAGTATGAAAGTTCATTATTTCAATAGTCCAGGGTCATCAACTGAGAAGTGCAGGACACTGGAAACTCTTCATGTGTTGTATGAAAAGGGGAAATATCAATACATTACCTAGCATTTAAATTAAATTATTTTCACAAAATTAAGCAATATCATATATTTTGCCTTCTAGCTTATAAGGATATTATTATACGTTTTGACTGGGTCAAGCTGTATCAGAAGCTACAGAATATCGCAAAGACATGAAGTTATTAACCATGATGTTATAAATAGTATTACATCATAGAACAGTAAACCGTAGATACATTAAATATTGCCAGTTATTACAACACTCTGAATAAACAAAGCAAAAATAGATTTAACTGCATAAAGCTTAAAAATATCGCATATAACCTGCAATGAAATTATTTTTAGGAAATTAAAATTTCCAGACATGAGATTAATGAATATCGGAGCCATCAGGAAATGAAAGGAGCATGATAATTTTTTCATTATAAATAAAACAACAGTGTTGAACTGTATACAATAAAAAACCATTCGCTCTTGAGCAGAAAATTAATCCAATGGTGCAAATTACGATACGATCCAAAAAGCTAATGCAATTACTTTTCTTGAGTTTGTCATCTTCGAAAATTCAATCATTTTCAGAACTTAATTAATGTAATAGATTAACATTTTTACAAAATTAATTAAGTCTGATATTGCGTGATTTAATTTCAAGTGAAAATTTATTTTCAGGAAGTCAAAGTTCTCAGACTTCAGGTCAATCAATATTCGAATCATCTGGATATCAAACAGGTTTGATATATTAGTTGTAATATTAAAATGAAAGAAATCAATATTATCTAAGTTAACATTTCAATTAATAGCAATAGGTTTTTAAAATATGTCTCCTTCAAATATTTTAATAATTTCTTTTATATTATCCATATTTTATAAGTTTATTCTACCAGCAGATATAAAAAAAGCTTTATTTTGCATTAATTATTTGTTAACTTATTTTTCCTGATCAGTTTATTTTTCATCATTAACCTATTTTTCATTATTAACTTATTTTTCAGGGAGCCAAAGTTCCCAAACATCAGGTCAATCAATAACTCAGTTAACTGGATATGAAAGAGGTATGATATTACACCTATAATGAAGGAAATAATGTTATTTAAATCTAAACAAAATGAAATTTCTCTGGTGTTTTCAGGAAGTCAAGGCTCTCAGACATCAAGTCAATCAATATCTGAGTCATCAGGATATGGAAGAGGTTAGTTATTAAACTTATTATTAAAGAAATATTAAATAAATGTTAAATAAATAGAAAACGAAATTTTAAAAAATCTGTATTTCGAGGAAGTCCAAGTTCTCAAACTTCAGGTCAATAAATATCTGAGTCATCAGCAGGGCCTGAGCAAATACTGATTAATGGGCAAACAAGTCCTTAAGCATTTTACACTGGCAAAAAAAATTTTATAAACTCTATTTTGATTTTAAAAAATTTCACAATTATACAAGTGTGTTAACAGTGGGCTCGTACTCTACTCATTATGAGCTTTAACTGCACATTGAGTTTACCTGCACCAGTAGCAAAAGTTGATTTTTATTGATATGCGTCACTAATTTGATTGATCCTTTTGAGTAAAAATTTGACAACTGTAATGAAAGTTTAATGAATCAGCGAGGCACAATCTTACATACAGTGTGATTCTTTTAAATATTAATGTGCGAGGAGCCCATCAATTTTCGTAGGCCCTGGGCAAGTGCCACGATAATCAGACTCTGATCATCAGTATATAAAAGGGGTATAATATTGTACTTATTATACAAGAAATAACAAAGAAGGATAAAACAAAACAAAAACTATTTGGTTTTCGGAAGAAAATCTATCTATTGGTATAAACTATACAATCCGGAAGGATAGATGTACTGTAGAATCGGGAAAACAATTGCATCATATTTTCACAGTTTGTGCACTTTTTAGATAAACAAAGAAGTATTTATTCGCTTATATTCGGAATAGTAAAATTATTTTAATTTTTTTTAATTTATTTTCTTTTAAATTTATTTATTTATTTTGGAAATTTACTGATTTTTGGTTTAAATTTTTTGCTTGTATTTGAAAAAGATACTTTAATGTAATAAGACTCACTTTGCGACTGTTTAATTTGCGATTAAGTTCAATTACGGGCTTAATTGCAGGAATTCAATTATTTAATGGAAAACAAAGAAAATAGTATATTTAGAATATCAAAGCTCTGAGATATCAGATCAAGAAATTTCTGAGTCATCAGGAAATCAAAGAGATATACTATTTTAATTATTAATAAATTTTACATAAAAAATTACTTATTATTACATAAAAAAATTACATTATTTTAATCACCCATTTTAATTAATAAGAAATATTGTCGCTTTCAAATTACTTATTTAATTCTTTTACGTTCATAAAGGAGCAAGAAATTTATTCTTTTTTTTCACAAATCTATTTTTGTAGACTTACAAAAAAAATTTAATGCTATATTAACTTTTTTAAAATGAATTGAAATTTTTTACTTAAAATTAAAATTCAATTATTTTATAGGAAGCCAGAGTTCTCAAACATTAGGTCAATCAATATCTGAGTTATCTGGATACCAAACAGGTATAATATTAAAATTTTTACTATTGATAATACTGATTGATAATATTGATATACTATTGATTATACTATAATTATACTATTGATTCTTTAGACTTGATTTAAATCTCATTCAATTTAGCATAAAACATTACATAGGATGCAATACATTTGAGCCATTTTGTCTTATAACTGTGTTCGTCGCAGAAACAGGTATAAATACCAAACTGTACTTTTAATCGTAAAATCTTCAATAACTTTTCACTTCTTAGTCCTACGACTTTGCCTTTCTTTCGTCAGATTATTCCTTAAAAATACGCGTAAAACAATTTTTTTCACTTACTTAGAAAGGAAAGTTGGACGCGTCACTGGACACAAATATAAACCTGTACTTTTTATGAATAGAACCTCAAAAACTTCTAAACTATAAGTACTTGAGTCTCATTCAATTTAGTATAAAAATGCATCAAAAATATCAGAAAATAGATCACAAACAGTCTTTTTCTCCGTTTATTCAAGTTCCGTTCTTAACTGTTTAAATAAGTGGATGCCATATTTGAAATCAATCCATCAAACAATATAAAAATCAGTCATTACAACGCAAACACTTTTAAATAACTAAAATTTTTCAGGTATTCCATATTTTTAAAAGAAATTCGAATCTAAGTTATATTAAGCAGTTATATCATTCATTCTAATTTTCTTTTCTTCTCAGGCAATAAAATTTTATCTGATATTATGTAATTTAATTCATGAAGAAATTAATTTCCAGGAAGTCAAATGTCGCAGACATCAGGTCAATCAATATCTATATCATCAGTATATCAACAAAGTATAATGTTACAATTGTTAAGCTTAAATAACAAAGCAAAGCATAATAAAAATAACCATTCCTATGAAGTTTGTATCCTTCAAAATACTTAACAAATGCTTAGCATATGACATTAGATAGCATAAAACTAGCTCCTTATTTTAAAATTCCATGTTATTACTTGGTTAACAAAATAAAAATTAATTCTTTTTTTAATTATTGTTTTGTTGATCTTGTTTTTACAGGTAGTCAAAATTCGCAGACATCAGGTCAATCAATGTCTGAATCATCACAATATCAACAAGGTATGATGTTACAATTGTTAAGCATAAATAAAAATATTGTTAAGCATAATAAAAATAACCATTTCTATAAAATTTGCATCTTTCAAAATGTTCAATAAATACTTAGCATATTATATTAGATAGCATAAAACGAGCTCCTTATTTTAATATTCAATGTTTTTACTTGGTTAACAAAATAAAAATTTATCCTAAATTGCTTTTTTTATTGAAATATCTAATAAAATAAATTTTCAAGAATTTGTTTTGTTTTTTTTTAAAAATCAAGAATGAGTTTCAACGTGCAAATTTACTATGCCCCTCAAAGGGAATTGTTTATTGCTTACAAGACTATAATATATTTAAATTATATTTGTTACCAAAAACCCTGTGTGTGTTTTCCCAACGATAAATAATTAAAAAATATACTTGAAGTTTGAAGAATATTTTTTTCTTAAAGTAATAATTTATAAGTTTTTTTTTCTTCATATTTTCTTTATTTGATAAAGTTTGTTTCTTTCAAAATGCTTAGCATATTATATTAGATAGCATAAAACTAGATCATCATTTCAAAATTTAATGCTATTACTTGGTTAACAAATTAAAAATTAATCTTACAAAATAATAATTATTCCTATACTAGAAATATCTAATAAAATTAATTTTAAGTTCTTGCTTTAAATGAAACTAACTACTCATTTTAAAAATCAATGCTAATACTTGGTTAGCAAAATGAAAATTAATCATTAATTGCTTTTTTTGAATAGAAATATCTAATAAAATAAATTTTAAGCAATTGCTTTTTATCATCACAAATGAGTTTCAACATTCAAATTTACCATGCGCCTCAAAAGGAATTGTGTATTGTTTACAAAAAAATATAATATATTTTAATTAATTGCGTTTGTTACCAGAAACCAAATGTTAGTCTTCCCAACAATGAATAATTAAAATAAATACCTGAAGATTTTATTTCAAAATGCTTAAGAAATACTTATCGTAATAAGTTAGATAGCATGAGACTAGCTCCTTATTTTAAAATATAATGTTATTACTTGGTTAACAAAATAAGAATTAATCCTTTTTTTAATTATTGTTTTGTTGATCTGATTTTTGCAGGTAGTCAAATTTCGCAGACATTAGGTCAATCGATATCTGAATCGTCAGGATCTCAACAAGGTATAATGTTACAATTGTTAATCATAAATAAAAATAATGCTAAACTTAATAAAAATAACTATTCCTATAAACTTTTATACTAAAATAAATGAATCAATTAAAAAGAGCGTTATGAAAAGTTCATTCTTTTAATTTATGTTTATCTTAATTTGTGTGTCTCAAAAACCCGTGAATATTATATTATAAATAAAAAGTTTGGTTAAAAATATTTATTGTGCCTCTTGCTGCTTGAACGAGAGAAATATGAAGGTATGTGATACTGTTACTATTATTAGAATACCTTCCAATTTGATACGGGATGAAAAGAGATATTTTTTAAATATTAATTTGGCATATATTTATCGATAGAATACTGGTAAAAATATAAGCGCATACTTTGTCAGAGAAAAGGAAGGTGACGCTCAAATTAGTTGTCCCAAGAAAATTTTATCTTCATACTTCTTTCTTTAGAACGATGTATTTTAGACTGTAAGTTCTGTCAAATGCAATTTTTAGTCACATCACATTTTTATTTGAATGCACAATTCAAAGTTTTATAGAGCCACAAAATAAGATAAAACAGAGTTTGAGAAAATGAACATTTTGTTAAAGCATATATCTACATTGATTTAGTATATTTTTTATTAATTATAAGTTTTTGATTGGTTTTATGCTTTTGCTTTTAATTCTTCTTTTTAATTTCAAAAGAAAATTCTGTGGATTTTTTTAAATTTAATATTTCTATTCGTTAGCATTTTTATTTCTATATCTCTATTTGCTATTATAATCCAATTTCTTAAGGTTATTTCAAAAGCTATACAAATAAAACATACTGCTGGTACTATTAGCCAATTATGATGGTTTAATAATGATGAACTTGATTGAATAACTTTTTTTTCTGTATAGCATAAATGTGGCGAGAAAATCCAAAACATGTTCCTTTCTATTTTGAAAAAAATTTAAAAAAATAGAAAAAGTTGGAAAAAATATTTTTTTAAAAATTTTAAGGAAATTACTTATCTTATTGTTGACTACGAAAGCAGCTTCTTGATGGGTTACATCTAAACCACCAGTTGGGATGTAGACCACATAAACTACATTTAAATTCCCTTTTACTGATAAACAAAGTCAAAATGTATATGCTTCAAATTCAAACAATAGAGCATATTTTTCCTATAAAAAATTATAAAATATGTTTTATGCTTTACATTTTATGAAAATACTTTGATAATAAAATAATTTTGATATGTTTGTGAATACACTTATTGAAATTTTAAAAATAGTTCGTTAAAAAGCGGATTGTTTGTGAATCTTTTAGGCAGTAGTTATCAGAGTGGACAATCAAATACTGGATCTTCTTCCTCGTCATTTGTTTCTCAAGAAGGTAATTTTTGCCCTTAAATATTAATATATTATGATGAAATACCATGTATACAATTTACATTCGTGTCAAAACCAAACTATTGTACGCTTTTTACAGGAATTACCAGCCAACTTTCTCAGACAGTAGCTGACTCCTCTTCTTCTTCATCATCGTCGTCAACAGCTGTTGGTAAGAGTACCTGCATCTAAAACATTGTTAGTGAGCTATGTAGCTTCAACATTATCCAAAAAGAAAAAGAAAGCGGAATCGATTACCACATTTAACTATAAAACGAAAAAAAACGGGTCAAATAACGGCATAAAATACCGTCACTTTAATTCATCATCCGTAAAATCTATTTTACCGTAATTTTTACAGTAATATTTATTTAATGAGAATTATTCAGTGATATTACGGTAAGTATAACTTTAAAATTTATGGTATGTCAAATTTTTTGTTCCGAAACATGTTCTGATAACAACGGATTTTTCTGTGAAAAATACCGGTACCTTGAGTGTCGTTATTTTTTACTGGACTTTTTTACAGTGCATCCGGAATATCCAGTATTGATAAAGCTTCTCTTGAGCCTCTTACTCTACGTCAAAACCATGTTAAATGTTTAGATAGCGGTTTTGTTCCATTATTTCACCGATTAAATTTTCATAAATTATTCATAGGCTAATCCAGCTCTTTAAATATAAAATATATAACTTTGTTTTTAGTTTGCAAAATTTCCCATTAAAAATAACTTCGTGGCATAAAAACTAACTTTATTTTAAAAATTTGACTGTTTACTGGTATAATATATATAGAACATAAATAACTCCATAAGGGCACGAAGAATAGTTATCATCGCTTTTCAAAGCTAATTATTTCACGAATTATTTCATCATTTTTGCCTATGATGGATACTTTAAATGGTTGAAATCAATTTTTAGACGAAGGAAAAAGAATACGTACCTATACTTTCGAGATTCCACCGAATACATTGATATTTCGTTTGAATATGATTGAATATTTCGAGATACCTTGTCTTTTATTCTATGTTCCCTCCATTTTCTTTCGTTTCCTTTCAATTGAGTTTGGATTTTTCGTTGAAAAGGAAAAAAAGACGCCGTTGCGCGATCAGGAAAAAATCCTTTTTCGTGGCTACTCCCATCCTAGCCATTCTATCCTTGATCCTGTTGAAAAGGAGTTTTAGCTGGCGCTCCAGCTCTTTTCTAATACTCAGCAACCAATAACAAGTTGTTATCCATATGCTGTAACTTTCTAACCACGTTAAGTGCAGGAAACTCTATCAAGAACTAGTTAAATTAAGTATCTAAATAAATAACAAAATTTTAAAAGTACATATATGAAATTTTTAACAATACTCTTATAATGTAAAATTATTCAAGACGAATTTATCAAAAATGAATTTTTGTTCATGTTTTACAAATTTTAATAATATTCTTACAGCATTTATGCAAAACTATTATTAATTAATCTCCCCAAATAAAATCTATATGACTTTAAACGATGAATTTGTAGACAAGTTTTGAAATGACGTTAAAGCTTTCAAAAAATTTGATATTTGTGATTTAAAAAATTTATACAGACTTAAATGTACTATCTTTTATCTAACATTTTCCTAATAATTAGTTTACTATATGACTGGAAGAAAGTTTAAAATGGCTCTTCAAGAGTTTAAGCAACTTGGCTTTAACTAGCATACTTACAAAACTTGTATATAAGTTGCGCATTTTTGTAATTTTAAATCACAAAGTTTTTGTTATGTTTATAAAAGGGTAGCGAACACAATTTTAAGAGTAAACATCTTTCACAAGAAAGGGATTTTAAAGATTTTGTAGATAGCATCTACCCAGAGCCGGATTATACCTTTCGTAGGCCCTAGGCATAGCCGTTTTTGGGTCCTCCCCTCCTTCCCCCACTCCTCCCCTCTTTTCAAAATTTATGCTAAAATTTTCTTGCATATTTTTTTTTAAACATTTTTGTTAATATGGATTTTAATTTACAAATTTGTTTATCGAACTTTATCTGCAATATCGACATACTGCCGATATTGCAGTTGATATCGATAATACCATTATGATTAGTTCGATCGATAACTATGTAAACACTTCACGTCAACAATACAGCAACAAACCAGCAAAGAAAACAGTGAAATTGATAGTGAGATTAATTACAAGAAATATTTATACAGTAGAGAACCAATTATCTGGGATGCTCGGGACCATCGCTATCCCGGATGTCTGAATTTCCCAGTTTTCTGGATCGACCAAAAAGTGTCATTAATCGATGTTTTATCGAACCCGAATTACAAGGAAATTACACAAAAATTTGTCAGAATCTGAGATTAAACTAAAAGCGCAAAATTTGGTGAAAATTTACTCATCCGATTTAGAGAAAAACTTTGTAGATGAATTTTTACTATTTTCAAATTTATATGAACATAAATCTGCACAAGAAATGTTGAAGGCTCAAATTAAAGATAAACTTGTGAATACTTTTCCTAACGTTCACATTGCATTAAGAATATATTTGTCGATTCTTGGATCAAATGCAGAAGGAGAAAGATCTTTCTCCAGATTAAAATTGATAAAAAATTATTTGCGTTCAACAATGAATCAAGATCGTTTGGCATCGCTCGCACTTATGTCTATTGAATACGACATTTTGCGTAGTTTGGAATTCGACAGCATAATACAAGATTTCGTTGAATCCAAAAATCGCAAAAAAGTAATATATTAGATCATAAGATTCTGCAAAATAATTTATTACCGAAAAATATTATATTTTTATTTGTATCTTCATAATTTTGTGCAAAATACACTTGTTGTTTTTAAAGCTAAATTACTTTTGTCAACAAATTTTTTTTCTCCCAAGTTTTTTCGTAGGCCCCTGAATTTCGTAGGCCCTAGGCACGTGCCTAGTGTGCCTATAGGTTAATCCGGCCCTGCATCTACCTCTCTTCACGTCATGTCCTACTTATTTACAGCAAACTTATAAAATTTTTGGATAAAAAAAAAGTACTAAGTGAGCAGTTCTAAAAAGTAGGAAATATAACACAGATCAAAACTTTAAGCTCCGGTTGTTATTAAGTTTAATTTTAATTCACAGTAAAAATTTTAGTACAAATTTATAATTATGTCTATTTACAGGAATCAACAAAAAATATTGCTAAAGATTTCGATTAATACCAATAAAAATTATTATTATTTTTTTTTTTACCAAAAGGAGCATACGTACTGCTAACTTTTCTAATGAGATACCTGAAAACAAATTTTTGTTTAATTGCTTCTAGGTATTTACAAATAAAAATAAGAGTATAAAGCTTCAATAGACCGATTATTTGATAATATCCTTTTTATTTTATATTTAAAATCCGTCGTTGAACAACCGACCCAATCTTGGGTTTACGACTACTGATGTTCAACTCCGTAGCCTTATAATTTTGAACCAATCCAGAAGACAAGGAAACTCCTGGTTCAGTACCCCCTAGACTTGGTGACTCGACAGATTTAACGTGCATCAGTCACCATTTACTACACGGGGAGTCTTCGGAAGGCGGGGATCGAAACCCACGAATTCTTGGACATGGGCCCAGTGCCCTACCAACCAGGCTATCCCGGCCAATTGATAGTATCCTTGAAAAATGGCAGCATTAAACAATTGCATGTTATTGTGTAAAAAACTTTTGAAAAAAGCATTTTTTAAATCTTAATGCATATGAAGCGCGGTCACTCGGGGGATAGAGCGTTCACCTCCCAATTTGGTGCTCAGGTTCAAAGGGTTGCAATTGGAATCTCTAACGAATTTTTGCTTCTTTTTAATTTGTTCAGTTAATTGATTTAACAAATTGTGTAAAATCTCCAAATTTGTCTGAAATTTCAACTAATTATTAATCAAATGAATACTTTTCATAGGATCTATCAGTCAAATCTTACAATCAGCTAGTGAATCTGCGTCCTCATCCACTGCTTCTCAAAGTGGTAAGAAATTTACTTATAAAGAATTATTAAATTTTGATTTTGTTAAACAAACATAAACTTAGTCAGTTTATCAAAAACCATAGGTTCACAATGTTGGCGCTATTGCACACCAGTGGGCTGTGAAGAGTTTCAGATAGGGAGCTTTTTTTTTTCGTTTAATACCGATGAGTTGCTTATGTTTTTACTTCAGCACAAAAAAAATTATTAAAGCATTGATAACAGTAAAATTGTCTGATTTGAAACCGCCTTTTAACGTTGACAAACTTACCACTTTTTACGTTAAAAGGCTTCGTGATCTTCATATGAATTTGAAATATTTGTGCCCCACCTGTTTCTATAAACTTCACTTGAAATACCAATATATTAACTTAATTAAATGTTACATTTTTTAAATAAAAGTTTATTATTCGAGAAATATAAAGTTCGTAATTTTTTTGTTTGCTTATAACTGGCTTTTTTAAAAAGTCATTGAATATATCATTAAGTCAATTAAATTGTATAATTTATGTGTTTTTGCATTTGTTTAATAATTCTAAAGGATATTTTCAAAATGCAATTAACTTTGGATTTCTCTTTAGTAGGGGAAAAATGAGAGCTACACCCTACTTTAAGGGTTGATGACCTCTCTTACTATAGTGCTATGAGATGAGCACAACACCCCACTTCCTCAGTATGGAGAGTTCAACTCCACTGATAAGCTGTTAGTAGGGATGACGTAGGATGGCTCTTTACGTAGCATGGATTGGACTAAACAAATGCTTCTTAAAAATTTCAGTTATTTATTTCTTCACAACTGTATATTTGAGATATTGAGAACCCAACATGGGTTTATTTGAGAAATTTGAAGCTAACTTTTTAATCTAAAACAAGTTTCAAATGAATTCTTCCTTGCAAATAGTTATAAAAAATCCGCAAAGTGTCCTCCATTATGTTAACGATGTTCTTAGCGTCCCACGGTTTAGACTGAACAACTGCTTCTTAAAAAAAATTTAGTATTTATTTCTTCATAGTTATGGGTATTTTTGTAAAATGTGACGCTTATTTTGAAAATTTTAACCAAGTTTCAAATGTCCTCCTTTTTATCATTTCACTCCTATTTTAAGATAATTCACATTTGTTCCTTTTCTAATGAGTAATTCATTTGAAACTTGTTTCAGATTTAAGTGTGAATCTCACTTTTTTAAAAAATACCAATATGTTTCAAGAAATAAGCAGTCACAAATTTTAAGAAGCATTTGTTTACTCACGGTAGGAGCATATTTATTGATAACATAATAGAGGACACTTTATGAATTTTTAATAACTTTTTGCAATGAGGATTCTATTTTAAATTTGTTTCAGATTACAAAGTAAGCGTCAAATTTTTAAAAAATATCCATAGATGTGAAAAAATAAATACCCAAAGTTTTTAAGAAACAAATGCTTAGGCCAGGGTCCTTTATACGAGCTCATCCTATATACGAGAGGTCATTGATCCAAAGTAGGTTGAGGGGCTTATCCCATAGCATTTTGGTTTAGCGCTCATTTTTCCTTTTATTCCTTTTGCTAAATTTTAAAAGGTAACCTAGGTGATAAAATTTTAAAATATGATACACTCAGTATCAGCTTTGCAAAATAAACAGCCGATGGATTGCGGGTCAACCTAAATACATTTATAAGTTGCGAGAAAAAAATACTTTTTCGGCAAAACATTAGATGATTTTTAAAATTATTGTAATTTTATGAAACAACGTTGTAGATAAATTAGCATTAAATAATGAATAATCATCTCAGTGCTTTTCAAGCATTAATGTATGCTTTTATGTGAAATTATCAAACAAATGGTACACGTCGTTTTGAAGCTGGGTAGATTGCTAACGAAAGAAAGATCTGCAAATGAAAACGTATGAATTCCAATAAACAGCGAAACGTTTTTAGTGATGAATAATAAATTTTTATTTTAGAAGTCTAGAGAATTTGTTTCTTTTCTATGTGTTTAATTTGAGTCAATCAATTTGACAAGTGATGGGGTAAATTGTCAAATTTATAAGAAATTTTAACTAATTATTAATCAAATAAATACTTTTCACAGGATCTAGCAGTCAAATATTGCAAGCTGTGAGTGAATCTGAATCATCAGCCACTGCTTTACAGAGTGGTAAGATACTTTTTCTTAAAGAATTTTTGAATTCTGATTTCCTAAACCGAACGCAGCAAAGTCCTGCATTATTTCTATCTTCTTCGTGCTTCTTTAATTAATTTTTAAAATCATCCGACATTTTAAGAACGTTTGACACACTTCCTGACAGGAAACGTATCAACTTTTTTTCCATAAGATGCCGAAATTTTATTTTTTCCTGAATGTGACTGAATTATATTTTGTTGGTGAAAAAGTTTTCTTTCCTTTGTCATTTGTAACTTGCCAGAGAATACAATAAAATATAGGATTTTAAACCTATTTCGTTCAATTGTAGAACTTAAACAATTAAGGAACTGCGCAAGAAAATCCAGCTAATTAACGTTATCTCCAAACAAGTAATACGAAATTTCAGTACTACGATACCTCAAGACGACGTCAGTGACATTGTATTCCTAAATTTTTAGGAAATTACTTCATTTTGGAGAAACTTATCTAGGAGATTTTTTATCCCCTTGTAAAAGAATAATATAAATGGAAGGAGTTCACAAGAATTCAAAAAAGAACTACTATAAAAATGTATTCTAAAAAGACATTTTTGTGTGTGTCCAAAAATTTACTCCCTTTTAAAATTCGCCAAAAAAATTATTAAATATATCTTTTTATTTGTCAAAAAGAAATGTTTTTTACGTTTTAATGAATGCACGTTTCTTAGAGTTTGTTTCGCAAAACGTAATTTTTCTATTAGATAATTGGAATAAAGTAATGAAAATTAAATTTCAAAAATAGGTTTTTAAAATTTATTACATTATGAATCATAATTTGATTAAAAAAAATTTGATTAATATCTGACTTAGTTTTGATTAAAAAATAATATGCAAAAAAGACGTCTAATTTAAAGAGTTACCTTAATTTTTTTTTTTAGTTTAGAGTGTAGTATTTATCATTTAATTGCTTGACAAAATTTTAAGACAATGTTTTTTTAGAAAGTTCCTCCGACTCAGAATCATCAAATCAAGTATCATCCTGGTTTTCAACTATAAAAGATGGTAATTATAAAATATGGTAATTAATGGTATGAATGGCATTACCTTCATTATGTTAACGATGTTCTTAAAGTCCCATGGCTTAAATTAAACAAATGCTTCTTAAAAAAACTTCAGTATTTATTTCTTCATAGCTATGGGCATTTTTGTAAAATGTGACCCCTATTTTTAAATTTTAATCAAGTTTCAAATGAGTTCCTCCCTTCAAAAAATTAAAAGAAATTCGTAAATTGCCCTCCTTTTCATCAATTTACTTCTATTTTAACATAATTAACATTTGCTCTTTTTTAACATAATGGAAAGCATTTTGCAAATTTTTCGTAACTTTTTCCAATGGGTAATTCATTTGAAACTTGTTTCAGATTTAAATGTGAGTCTCACTTTTTTCAAAAATACCAATATGTTTCAAGAAATAAGTACTCACAAATTTTTCGTTTACTCATGGTATGAGCATATTTATTGATAACATAATAGAGGACACTTTGTGAGTTTTTTTATAATTTTTTGCAACGAGGATTTTATTTTAAATTTGTTTCCGATTACAAAGTAAGCGTAAAATTTTTAAAAAATATCTATAGATGTGAAAAAATAAATACACAAAATATTTAAGAAGCATATGTTTAGTCCAAACCATGCTACATTAAGGACATTAATAATAACATAATGACAAACATAAAAATCTAAATATATTGCAAATTTTTTATAATTTTTTGCTATGAGGAAATCATTTGAAACTTGTTCCAAATTATAAATTGAGAGTCTATATTTCCTAAAATACCCATATTTGTCATGAAATAAGTAAAAATTTTAAGAAGATTTGTTCTCTCCAAACAATGATATGTGCTTAGAGCTTGTGCATAAATAACGAAAATGAGGACAACTTTGCGAATTTTTTGTAACTTTTTCCAGTGAGAATTTGAAACTTGTTTCAGACAACAAAGTAAGCTACAAATGTTTCAAAAATACCCATACATGTGAAGGAGTAAATACTAAAAATTTGTTAAGAAGCATTTGTTTAGTCTAAACCATGCGACGTTAAGAGTATATATGTGGTTAATGTAATGGAGGACACTTTTCAAGTTTTTCATAACTATTTGCATTGAGAAATTCATTTGAAACTTGTTTCAAATTTCAAAGTTATCGTAAAATTTTTCAAATTTACCCAAGGTTGTGAAGAAGTAAATAAATTTTTTTAAAGGCATTTGTTTAGTAGAAACCATACTACGCCGCAGTGCGTATCAGTGGGATTGAACTCTCATCCATACTGAGGAAATGGGGTGTAGCGCTCATCCTATATACTAGAGGTCATGGATCCAAAGTGGTTTGAGGGCTTATCCCATAGCAGTTTGGTTTAGCGCTCATTTTTCCTTTAATTCTTTTTGCTAAATTTTAAAAGATAACCTAGGTGATGAAATTTTAAAATATGATACACTCATTATTAGCTTTACAAAATAAACAGTCGATGGATGGCGAGTCAACCTAATTGCATTTATAAGCTACGATACTCCTTTAGAAAAAAATACTTTTTCAGCAAAACATTTTGGATGATTTTTAAAATTATTGCAATTTTATGAAACAACGTTGTAGATAATTTAGTATTAAATATTGAATAATTATCTCCGTAATTTTCAAACATTAATGCATGTTTTTATGTTAAACTGTCAAGCAATAGGTACATACATCGTTTTGAAGATGGGTATACTTCTAACGAAGGAAAGATCTGCAAATGAAAACGTATTAAGTATAATAAACAGCAAAACTCTTTTAGTACTGAATAATAAATTTTTATTTTAGAAGTCCATCTCTAGAGAATTTGTTTCTTTTCTATTTGTTTAATTGAGTCAATCGATTTGACAAGTGATGCTGTAAATCGTGAAATTTATAAGAAGTTTTAATTAATTATTAATCAAATAAATACTTTTCACAGAATCTAGCAGTCAAACAGCACAATCAGAGAGTGAATCTTTGTCTTCGGCGACTGCTTATCAGAGTGGTAAGAGCCTTACGTTTGAAGAAATAATAAATTTTGGTTTTGTTATATTAACATAAATGTTATTTTGGTTAGCTTAGCTAAACAACAGTTCCTAAAGTGGGGACCTCAATGACCTCCCACCCCCAACCTTCCAGTGGGTGGCGGAAACCTTCAGGATCGAGCTCCATCAAGTTTATATTGCGGCTTTCAGGAGAACTACTCCAGACTCACGTCTCGCTTTGTGGCGGGTACTATGGTTACGAGGAAAGGTCACTTCGAATAGGGACGTGGGGTGAATAGTTTTGTCTTAATCTTAGCGTAGGTCGTCGTGTGTAAACAAATAGACACCTTTTTTCCTCCATTTCACCCCCATTTAAAATGCGCACTAGCTTGTTACCATAGCAGCAGACAGCCCCAGACTTTCAGACTGGAGGAGTTCTCCTCAAAGTCGCACTATACTTGGATTTGGGGTTCTCATAAACAAACAATAGATAAAACTAGTATTGGGAAAATAAAAAAATGCAATTTTTTTCTTTTTGGTATCGATGAATTGTTGTACTTCAGCAGAAAAAGTTTATTAAAGCATTTATGTTATTAGAATTGTTTGATTTAAAAGAGAAAAAAAAACTTTTTAACAATGACAGGCTAACCACTTTAAGTGTTGAGCGTTGAAAGGCATCGTGATCATGATATGAATTTGAAACTTATGTGCTTCTCCGGCTTCTCTGAATTTCCCCTAAAATACCAGTCTATTAACTTGATTTGAGATGCATTGCTTTAAAGAAGAGGAAAAATTTATTCGAGAACTTAAATGTTTGTAAATTTTTGTTAGCTCATAACTCATTTTACAAGAAAGTGATTAAATTAATTCTGTAATTTATGTGTTTTTTACTTTGTTTTTTACTTTGTTGTTGATAATTCAAAAAGAAATTATTAAAGTACAATTAACGTCGAATTTCCTTTTGTTGACTTCTCTTGTTCTTTTTGTTTGTTCTTTAAAAATATAACTATGTCATTCAATTTTAAAATATGATACACTCAGAATAAGCTATACGAAATAAACAGAAGATGGATTGTACCTGATTACATGCATAAACCACGCTACTTTTTTATAAAGTATGAGAAAATTGATTTTTAAACATTTAATTTAAACTGAAAAACGTTATATTAGATTTATTTTTATGCAAACACTTTAAAATTCTACTAGTAAGTTCTTTTCCTCAAAATTATACGAAAGAACATTTTCAATTTAAATTAATATTGACCATAAGTACATTTTAGCGTACATAAGTTATTTTTTATAATAAAAAATAACAAACAACTGGGGGGGGGAAATGATAAAAAAAATTTTTTATATATATATATATATATATACATACACACACACACTCGTGGACAAATAAATTAGCACACCAAGAAGGAGTAGTCAAAATGAAACAAAATTCGACTTACGTAATGACTACTTTGATATAAGTAAATGATTAGAAAATCGAAGAAGAAGGATAATTTATTTCAGAGAAAAAGGCAAAAGAACGGAGGAGTTAATACCCCGTTGGACCCCCTCTAGCGCGAATGCAGGATGCGATACGATCGGGCATTGAGGCATACAAGTTCTGTATGATGTCTTGAGACATTTCGTTCCATATTTGCTGTAACCTTGCCTCTAGTTCGCTCAAACTCGTGGGAGGCCAAATGATCCCAGATATTCTCGATTGGAGACAAATCTGGAGATCGGGCAGGCCAAGGAAGGGTAGTAACAGTACGGAGACAGTCTTGTGACACCCTTGCTGTATGAGGCCGAGCATTGTCTTGTTGAAAAATGGCTCCTGGGAACCGTTGCAAGAGTGGCAACACATGTGGTTGTAGGTTTACCGCTGGGCTGTCATGGTGCCACGGAACAATACCAGGGGTGACCGTGTACTGTAGGCATTGGCATCCCATACCATCACACCAGCCGTGGGCGCGGCGTGTCGCTGTACAGCAAAAGTAGGATTGAGGCGTTCACCACGGGGTCTCCACACACGAACACGATTGTCATCACTGCTGAGATTGAATCTGGATTCGCCGCTAAAGACGACCTGGTACCATTCCGTTGCAGTTCAGTTTCCTCGTGCGCGGCAAAACTCCAAACGGAGGCGTCGATGGGTGGGCACAATTATTTCTTGGTGCGCTAATTTTTTTGTCCATGAGTGTATTTAGAATCTTTGTCAGAATGACTTTTTCTAACTGGAATACATTGATCATTAAGTACATTTTCAGTAACTTAAATGAGTGATTATAGAAGTACATCATAAAAAGAATATTAAGGACATAAAATAAAATGAAACAAAAGTTTATTCAAAATTTATCTATAATTGTTTCTTGATCTTATTAAAGGGGTGTTGAATTTTTTTTTTTACTTACAAACTTATGTGCTAAACATTTTAGTTAGTAGGAATATGCAAGGTGTATTGTATTGTCTATTCTTATTACATACTTTTAGAATCTTAGTCTTAATAAAGTTATGCACATTATTAGTCGCATATTGCTATTTAAGTGGGGGGGAATTCTATCAAAAATCGAAGTCCTTATGTGAAAGGAGATGAAAATCCTAAAAGACAGTATGATTATCTGATGAAATTTATAAAGTTGTTTCTAATAATATTCTCATAAAATCACTCTAGGACCACCTGGTATCAAGTTCAAATTTTTTATAACTATTTGCATTGAGGAATTCATTTGAAACTTGTTCCAGATTTAATAGTTATCGTAAAATTTTTCAAATTTACCCATGGTTATGAAGAAATAAATAAAAAATTCAAAGAATTTATTGTTTAATACAAACCATACTACGTCATCCTTACGAAGTGCATATCAGTGGGATTGAACTGTCATCCATACTGGGGAAATAGGGCGTAGCACTTATACGAGAGGTCATCGATCCAAAGTGGGGTGAGAATCTTATCCCATAGCACTATATTAAGAAAGGTTCATCTACCCTTAAAGTTCGCTTTAGCACTCATTTTTTCTCTATTCTTTTTGCTAACTTTTAAAAGATAACTATGTGATTAAATTTTAAAATATGATACACTCGGTATTAGCTTCACAAAATAAACAGCCGATGGATTGCGGGTCAACCTCATTACATTTATAAGCTGCGATACTCTTTTGGACAAAAATACTTTTTCAGCAAAACATTTTGGATGTTTTTTAAAATTATTGTAATTTTATGAAACAACTTTGTAGATAAATTTGCATTAAGTGTTGAATTATTATTTCCGTAATTTTCAAACATTAATGTTTGTTTTTATGTGAAAATATCAAGCAAAAGGTACTCATTGCTTTGAAATTGGGTAGACTGCTAACGATGGAAAGATCTGAAAATGAAAACGTATAAACTCCAATAAACAGCAAAACGTTTTTAGTGATGAATAATAAATTTTTATTTTAAAAGTTCATCTCTAGAGAATTTGTTTCTTTTCTATGTGTTTGATTGAGTCAATCAATTTGACAAGTGATGGAATAAATCCTCAAATTTATAAGAATTTTTAATTAATTATTAATCAAATAAATACTTTTCACAGGATCTAGCAGTCAAATATTGCAAGCTGCGAGTGAATCTGAATCCTCAGCCACTGCTTATCAGAGTGTTAAGAAACTTTTGTTTAAAGAATTATTGAATTTTGACCTTGTTATACAAAATAAACATAGTTTAGTTAGTTTAGCTGAACCATAGGTTCCCACAGTGGGTGCTCTTGTCCCTCCCTGTGGATACACAAGCAAAAGCTAGCATCCATCGGTTTGAATCTGGTGTAACTGCCACCGGAAGCGAAAGACAGCTAATGAAAAATATTAACGCCAATGGCGAAAAGATTTTAGTTGTTGAACAATAAACATTTTATTTCAGAAGTCAGTCTCTAATGAATTTTTGTTCCTCTTCAATTTTTTTAATTGATTCAATCGATTTGACCAAGTGATGGCAAATCGTCTTATTTATAGGAACTTTTAATTAAATATTAATCAAATTAATACTTTTCATAGGATCTAGTAGTCAAATTGCACAATCGGAGAGTGAATCTTTGTCTTCGGCTACAGCTTCTCAGAGTGGTAAGAACCTTACATTTCAAAAATTAATACATTTTGGTTTTGTTATATTAACATAAACGTTATTTTGGTTAGTTTAGCTAAGCAGCAGTTCCCAAAGTGGGGACCCCAATAACCTCCCTGAAGCGAAACTGGGCGGTGAAGACCTTTAGGAACTCCATCAAGTTTACTTACATTTGAGGTTCATAAACAAATAGATAAAACTAGTATTGGACAAATAAAAATAAAAGCAATTTTTCAGTACGGTATCGATGACTTGTTGTACTTCAGCATGAACATTTTTTTTATTAAAGCATTTATGTTATTAGAATTGTTTGATTTAAAAGAAGAAAAAAAAGCTTTTTAACAATGACAAGCTAACCACTTTACGTGTTTTACTTTGAAAAGCACCAGGATCATCCTGTGAATTAGAAACTTATGTGTTTCTCCGGCTTCTCTGAATTTCACCTAAATTAAAACTAAAATTTTTTAATTTGAGAAATTGAATCTTTGAAAATTTTTGTTTGCTTAGTTTGATAAAAAAGTGATTACTGTAAAGTCCTCAATTTACTCCTATTTTAACATAATTAGCATTTTCTCCTTTTCAACATAATTAACATAATGGAGAGCATTTTGCAAATTTTTCGTAACTTTTTCCAATGAGTAAATCATTTGAAACTTGTTTCAGATTTAAATGCGAGTCTAACTTTTTTCAAAAATACGAATATGTTTCAAGAAATAAGTACTCACAAATTTTTTGTTTACTCACGGTATGAGCATATTTATTGATAACATAATTTTATTTTAATTTTTTTTTAAATTTGTTTCAGGTTACAAAGTAAGCGTCAAATTTTTAAAAAACATCCATAGATGTGAAGAAATAAATACCCAAAATTTTCAAGAAGCATATGTTTAGTCCAAACCATGCTACATTGAAGGCATTAATAAAAACATAATGACGAGTATATTGCAATTTTTTTATATTTTTTCGCAATGAGGAAATCATTTGAAACTTGTTTCAAATTATAAAATGAGAGTCTATATTTCCTAAAATACCCATATGTGCCATGAAATAAGTAAACAAAAGTTTTAAGAAAATTTGTTTACTACAAACAATGCGTGTTTAGAACATGTGTATAAATAACGAAAAGGAGGACGACTCCGCGAATTTTTTGTAACTTTGTCCAATGAGAAATTCATTTGAAACTTGTTTCAGACAACAAAGTAAGCCCCAAATGTTTCAAAAATACACATATACGTGAAGAAGTAAATACTAGAAAATTTTCAAGCATTTGTTTAGTCTAAACCATGAGACGTTAAGTGCATATATATGCACTTAACGTCTCATAATGACGAGTTATGGTTAATATAATGGGGGACATTTTTCAAATTTTTTATAACTCTTTGTATTGAGGAATTCATTTGAAACTTGTTTCAGATTTAAGAGTTATCATAAAATTTTTCAAATTTACCCATGGTTATGAAGAAATAAATAAAAAATTTTAAGAAGCATTTGTTTAATACAAACCATACAACGCCATCCTTACGAAGTGCGTATCAGTGGGATTGAACTCTCGTCCATACTGAGGAAATGGGGTGGAGCGCTCATCCTATATACGAGAGGTCATCGATCCAAAGTTGGGTGAGGTGCTTATCTCATAACACTATATTAAAAAAAGTTCATCAACCCTTAAAGTTTGTTTTAGCACTCATTTTTCCTCGACTCTTTTTGCTAACTTTTAAAAGATAACTATGTGATTAAATTTTAAAATATGATACACTCAGTGTTAGCTATACAAAATAAGCAGCCGATGGATGGCGGGTCAACCTAATTACATTTATACGCTGCGATACTCTTTTACAAAAAAATACTTTTTCAGCAAAACATTTCGGATGGTTTTTAAAATTATTGTAATTTTATGAAACAACGTTGTAGATAAATTTGCATTAAATATTGAATTATTACCTCCGTGATTTTCAAATGTATATTTTTATGTGCAAATATCAAGCAAAGGTTGAAGCTGGGTGGACTGCTCCCGAAGGAAAGATCTGCAAATGAAAACGTATTAACTCCAATAAACAGCAAAACTTTTCTTTTAGTGTTGAATAATAAATTTTGATTTTAGAATTCAATCTCTAGAGAATTTGCTTCGTTTCTATTTGTTTAATTGAGTCAATCGATTTGACAAATGATGCTGTAAATCGTCAAATTTTATAAGAATTTTTAATTAATTATTAATCAAATAAATACTTTTCATAGGATCTAGCAGTCAAATAGTGCAATCAGCGAGTGAATCTGAATCCTCAGCCACTGCTTATCAGAGTGGTAAGAAACTTTTGTTTAAGGAATTATTAAATTTTGGCCTTGTTATACAAAATAAACATGATTTTAGTTAGTTTAGCTGAACCATAGGTTCCCAATGTGGGTGCTCTTGACCCTCCCAGTGAATGCACAAACAAAAGCTAGTATCCACCGCTTTGAATCTGGCGGGGGGATAGTAGATTTCGACAATGTCAACCTTCATCTATGTTAAGGTGCCCCAACATAGAATCGAGTTAACATGTCTTATATACTTGTGAATTTGAATTATATTTTGTAGTGGTAGATTTACACTACAGTACTCCCCCACTGAATTATATTTGTGATAAAATTTGATGAACGGATGCTACTAGTTGATTCATTGCTGCTTTGTGAGAAGCCGGGAGAGATGTATTAAGATCACAGTGCTTTTGCTGATTGTGAGAGCTGTACTAAGTTCAACGTCGTGGTTGCTCCTGTGTAGCCATTAGCAGTCGACTTACCGACGCTGTGTGTGATCAAGACAGAGTAGCACGAGGAGATGGATAAAGTGGCAGTCACATGTAGCAAGTCAACTGTTCAATGTGAACCATCTATCTAAGTAGGCATGTTCAGATCGAAGTGGGCGTTATTGTTAAGATGGGGGTAATCACATCACGTCCGGGTCACCAATGTGGGAAGAGTAGATATCGACAATGTCAACCTTCATCTATGTTAAGGTATCCCAACATAGAATCGAATTAACATGTCTTATATACTCGTGAATTTGAATTATATTTTTGTAGGGGTAGATATACACTACAGTATTAACGCCAATGGCAAAAGGCTTTTAGTTGCTGAACAATAAACATTTTATTTCAGAAGTCAGTCTCTAATGAATTTTTGTTCCTTTTCAATTTTTTTAATTGAGTCAATCGATTTGACAAAGTGATGTTAAATCGTCCTATTTATAAGAACTTTTAATTAAATATTAATTAAATAAGTACTTTTCATAGGATCTAGTAGTCAAACAGCACAATCAGAGAGTGAATCTTTGTCTTCGGCTACTGCTTCTCAGAGTGGTAAGAACCTTACTTAAAATTAATAAAATTAATACATTTTCAAAATCAAATAATAAATTAAAAAATCAAAAATTAATAAATTTAGTTTTTTTTTATATTAACATAAACGTTATTTTGGTTAGTTTAATGATGCATTTTTTTAAATTAAAAATTTTTAATTCGAGAAATTTAATGTTCGTAAATTTTTGTTTGCTTATAACTCATTTTATAAAAAAGTGATTAATTTAATTCAGCAATTTATGCGTTTTTTACTTATTATAATTCAAAGGGACATTATTAAAGTACAATTAACGTCGAATTTCCTTTTGTTAACTTCTAGTGTTCTTTTTGTTTGTTCTTTAAAAAGATAACTATGTGATTCAATTTTAAAATATGATACACTCAGTATAAGCTATACGAAATAAACCGAAGATGGATTGTACCTAATTATATGCATAAACCTCGCTACCTTTTCTTAAAATAATTTAAATTTTTTAGTAAAATATAAGAAAATTGATTTTTAACCATTTAAACTGAAAAACGTAATAGTATTAGATTTATTTTTATGAAACACTTTAAAATTCTACTAGTAAGTTCTTTTCCTCAAAATTATACGAAAAAACGTTTTCAATTTAAATTAACATTGGCCATAAGTACATTTTTAAACTGAAGACATGGTTATAAAAAAAGCAAATGGTAAATAATAATAAAAATATTGAAAGACTAGTAATATTAGGTAATTTTATTAATAACTGATTTAAAATTGTTTTTTCACCTTATAAGGGGCCGTTGAAAGTTTTTTTTTAACTTGGAAAGTGCGGGGTGAATCAAAAAAAGGTTAGGAACTTATTAGCTAAACATTTTAGTTTAAAGGAATGTACAACAGGTATGATACTGGCTGTTCTTAATATATATATATTTAGAATCTTTGTCAGAATGACTTTTTCTAACTGGAATGCATAGGTCATTAAGTACATTTTCAGTAACTTAAATGAGTGATTATAGAAGTGCATCATAAAAAGAATATTAAAGACATAAAATAAAATGAGACAAATGTTTATTCAAAATTTATCTATAATTGTTTCCTGATCTTATTAAAGGGGCGTTGAAATTTTTTTTTACTTGCAAACTTACTTTCTAATTATTTTAATTACCGGGAATATGCAAGGTGTATTGTATCGACTATTCTTAATGCATACTTTTAGAATCTTAGTCTTAAGAAAGATATGCACATTATGAGTCGCATATTGCTATTTAAGTGGGGGGAAATTCTATCGAAAATCGAAGTCCTTATGTGAAAGAACATGAAAAGCACAGTATGATTATCTGATGAAATTTATAAAGTTGTTTCTAATAATATACTTATAAAATCACTCTAGGACCACTTGCTATCAAGTTTTGGCGTTTTCAGTATAATTTTTCCTTAGTAGTAAAGCAATAAGTTTCCCTTTTTTTTCCCCCGTTTAAGTAATTAACAAACCTCGTAACTTCACAATTCTCGGCATTTGAAGGTATGAAAATGCAATTTTAATTAAACAAATCATTAAAAACAATGCATGTGTCATGTGCGATAATTTTTTTTCAGCAACCCGCAGTCAGAGAAGAAAATCCAGTGCTTCGTCCTTTAGTTCAGGTATATCATTTTCTATTAAAATACCTTTATTATACATTGATAAAATTGGTAAATATTTTTTATATGATCGTAATGGTTTTAAATATTATATTCAGCAAAACTTTAAAAATATCCCATCAACATTTTAAATCACGGAATATAACGTACACTATTAAAATTTTCTAGGAAAAAATGGTTCAATAAAATTTATTTAATTGTTATTTTCCCGTATTCAACCATAACAATCAAATAACCATGAAAAGACAGTATTCAAATTGTTAATGGTAAGAAAAGTACTTTATTGTCTGTTTTTACCTAATACTGTTAAACAACCAGAATTTTATCCGCTCCAACTAGGTTTATCTTATGAAACCACTTAGTTCTTTGCATCAGGGTACATATTTTACCCAACAGGGCAAATCTGTCAATTTCATGACCAATTGAATGAAGGTTCGAATCCCGGCGTTGACACGACAATATTTTTCAATCCTTTCACCGCATAGAGTTTTCTGTATCCTACAGTATTTAAATACAAAACTCTCATTTACACACAGCTGGCAGCACTACAGAGCTGCTTGATAAGAAAATGTCTAGTATTTCCACTATCTTACGATAGATTGCCCTACCAGATAAGCTAATTAAGCCACGTTTCATGATTCATTTGACAAAACACAATTCAACCTCAACCTAATTCCAAAGTCTATTTCTTAACTATAAACTTAACTCCAATATTTAATTGAACGTCATTTTTACGGTTTTGCAAATATGCTAGTAGTAAATGGTTACAAAATCGTAAAGTTTTGTATTCACGGTTTTTTAATTATACCAGTTGCAAACGGCTTAAAAACCGTACAGGTAAAGAAATGTTCCTAATCGTGAAACTTCGCGGTTAATCTCTGCTGCCAGTTATTTTACCGTGAATTTCGAATGAAAATTCTAACAGCATAACTAGTAACATTTTCCCATACCTACGATTGAAACTTTTTTCATTTACATTTTTGAAAACCATTCGTAAGCATTTCAAAAACATTTCAAAAGCTATAACATAAATATATTGCGGTGTCACCTTCTTATTAGATTGAAAATTATTCTATTATTTGTGCTTTTTTTGGTTAGTGTAAAAATAGTGAAAAATATTTTTAATATAATAATTTATGGAATCTAACTCAATAGCGAAAATTCCAATTATTTATTTTGCTCTAAGTATGACAATCATAAGCAACAATTTTTGCTTTAATATGTGAGATATTTGTTTATATTTATAAAATAATATATATTTAAATGTACATTGAAATAATATGTATTGTCATTGTATTCCTGAAGAAATTAATGCAAAATTCCAAGTTAAACTAGCTTTTCTTATATTGAAATATACATCTTCAAAACTGTTCACGCGTAACTACAAAAATTTAAATCAAAAAAATAATTTAAATGTGTTCTTTCTTAAAACAAATGTAATAAATTTCTTAAAAAATTAAACGAAAGATAAATTCTATAAAAGTTTTAATAAAGAAAGACTCTCCTTTTTTCCCTTACTGCTAATTTCTAAAAAGGTGCATTTAAAAAAATAAATAGTATTATCTATTGCTTAACTTTATTTTTATGATTATTTTGAGTTAATGTCTACAAATAAATTTTTTGGTTTTCAATAAAGAAATATTACTTTTAATTAAACTTCATTTCTTATCCCCAAATAAATTTTTTACCCTAATAACGTTAATAAAACTGAATTAAAATTATTAGTTCGATAATCTACTGCAATAATTTTATGATAGATCAACCAGTGGCGCACGCAAGGGAGGGGTTTAGGGGTTTAAACACCCCCCTTGAGTTCAGACAAAATGTAAAAAATAAAAACTTTAGTAGAAATTATGTGGGCTATTTTTTAAGACTATATATTTGTATTTGACTTATGCCTACTTTTTTTTTCCTCACGGTATTTCTCAGAATACTGAGAAAACAAATTCACGTGATACTGTTACGGACTGGTTCCTTTCTGTCCTGCCATTCGCGATAGTTTTCGAGACTGGCTGTCATTCGCGAGGTCTTTACGCGATGATTCTGAAATCCTAGACGTTCTGTCGTCTTAGAGACAATTCGAGAATTTTGGAGATGCAGTGAAAAATTATATAAAAGGGGGAACGGAGTACAGTGGAGTTAGTTCTTGTATATAGTGTAAATAATTTTCTTTTATCTTCAATTGTTTCTATTACTATGTATCAAATTGCGATTTTATTGTTATGTATAACCCCGACTTGAATTTTGATTTTCAACTGTTGTACATTATGAGATTTAACTTACTGTTAACGCAGCACCCCCTTTCCATCCTCCAATTTATTTTTCTATTGCGATGAAAGAGTAAATATTCAACACTGGATAGGTACTCTGATAAAACTTGAATAGTTAGCTAGTGGAGTTAGTTAGTCAGACTAAGAGTTATCTCTGCCGCTTGTTGCTAAATCTGTTTTGTTTTGTCTTAACAAAAAGTTCATTCAATCGCCTAACCCGTCATCGCCACTATTTCGACTAGGGAAGAAATCAGTAACAATACCTTAGGAGATACTGTGCTCGTTGAAGTTATTCAATCCAGCTCGAAACTTTGAGGTCGTAGCATAGCGGATATTTCTGTGCCACTATANTGACGGTTTAAACCAGTATTATACCCTTGTCATGTCAAAAACCACTTTTTGACGTCAAAAACCCAACCCTGATATATATATATATATCTTGGCACAGATCTTGATCTTTAGGATGTCAAAACGCAAAAATTTAACAATTTTTAATCATTTTGAGAAAAGATCACGACCTGAAATTAGTGAGGTGACAGCATCTAATACCAATATAAGTTTTTCTGTAGTACAGAAATGTGATACTCCCATTGAAGAAAATGTTTCTAGCATAACAAAATCTGGTAAATGTAAAAGTGGCCCTGAAAGTGTTACTTCCCACCCATATGACATTAGACTTTTTTCAGAAGATATTACATGCAAGAAGATATTACATTATGATCTTAAACTTAAAAAATCAAATCAAAATTTAAGTAAACAATGTTGTCGAAATAAAGAGTCAGAATTGTCTAGCTGTCTAAATTAGGGAAATAATAATGCTTTATTACATACTCGAATTTCTTTTNTGAATTAAAACTATTAGTTCGATAATTTACTGCAATAATTTTATGATAGATCAACTAAATACACTGTTAAAAGCAATTCAGAAATATTATGATTCTTTTTAAATAATTATGAATATAATTGTTTGAAGAAAATTAAAAATAATTAGTAAATGCTTAAAAATATTTATTTAATGTTTTTTCAGCAAGTGAGAAGGAAATTGAATTTTCCCAAAGCGAGTCTTCTTCCAGTTCTAAAGGTAATAAAATAATGTACTAAAAGCAATAATACTAATACGTTTTAAACTTTATAAATAATAGTTAACAAAAAAAATTTTTTTAGGAAGCGAGGACCAAAGTAGTCAGTCGAGTTCTTCATCATCAATCTCAGGTAGAACTGGTCCTCTATATTTCACGTCATTTTCATTTAAAGTTGCATCTGATACCACCTGTCATTTAAGCCTTAACATTATTGTGCCTACTTACCTTGTGTCCCAGAAATAAACTATGATTTAAAGAATGCATGCAAAAAGAAAATACGAAAAGAAATATAAATATGCAATTATATGCTTAGAAAAATCAAGGTTTTTGCCATCAAATGTAAGAACTATTTATAAAGTTCCTCAAAAGGTGGCACTGTTAGTTGTCAAAACTACAAAATAATGCTGTTAGTTGTCAAAACGGCAAAATAATGCCTTCTTCTTCATGTCATGCCGATCCAACTGAAGTATATGCACGGGCAATGTAGTCCTCAAACAGTTGCCATAAAGGATGATTAATTCAAAAATGTTGTTTTACAGCTTCTCCCATTTAATATATAGCTTTTCCCATACCTTTTTATAACTAATTTTTAAAGTTGGTGATTTTATATATCTGATTTCCTAAACCGAACGCATTAATGTCTTTTATTATTTCTATCCTCTACGTTCATATTTAATTAATTTTTAAAATCATCCGAAATTTTAAGAACTTTTGATATATGTCACACCTCCTGACAGGAAACGTATCAACATTATTTCCATAAGATGCCGAATTTTTTTTTTCTCGCAAAAGTGACTGAATTATATTATGTTGGTGAAAAAGTTTTCTTTCCTTTGCCATTTGTAACTTGCTAGAGAATACAGAAAAAAATATAGGATTTTAAACCTATTTCGTTTAATTGCGAACTTAAACAATCAAGGAACTGCGTAAGAAAACCTAGCTAATAAGCATTATCTCTAAACAGGTAATACAAAATTTCAGTGCTAAGATACCTCAAGACGACGTCACTGACATTGTATTCCTAAATTTTTAGGAGTTTGCTTCATTTTGGCGAAACTTATTTAAGAGATTTTTTATCCCTTTATAAAAGAATACTTTAAATAAATAGGAGTTTTACAAGAATTCAAAAAAGAACTAGTATAAAAATGTATTCTGAAAAGACATTTTTGTGGATATCTGAAAATTTACTCCCTTTTAAAATTCGTCCAAAATTTTACTAAGCATATTTTTTTATTTGTCAGAAAAAAATGTTTTGTCCGTTTTAATGAATGTGCTTAGAGCTTGATTTGCAAACGTAATTTTTCTATTAGATAATTGGAATAAAGTAATAAAAATTCAATTTTCAAAATAGGTTTTTAAAATTTATTACATTATGATTCATAATTTGCTAAAGAAAATTTTTAGCATAGAGTTACCTTAATTTTTTTTAAAAATTTAGTATGTAGTATTTATCATTCAGTTGTTAGACAAAATTTTAATACAATGTTTTTTTAGAAAGTTCCTCCGACTCTGAATCATCAAATCAAGTATCATCCTGGTTTTCAACTGTAAAAGATGGTAATTATAAAATATGGTAATTAATGCTATGAATGGCACGAACATTGCGTTCATTGTGTAACATTAATTTATTTTTATTTCGCAGATGCTGAGAGTGGCAATGAACAGTCTCAATCTGAATCCTCATATTCATCTTCTGGAAGTCAAAAGGGTAATTAACGTATTTTATATTGATATTTTTTAGAAGCTAACAAATTCTCAAATATACGAAAACCAAAAGTGTTTTATTGAAATGTAAACGAATTTGATATAAAATATTTCTAAGAAAAACACATTCAGTATTATGGTTTGGTATTATTGTCAGACAGTAACATTTAGTATGATTGTCTGACAAAAGTCTTAATAAGTTTTTCTGATCAATTGAATTATGAGAAATTTTTTATAAAGAAATATTGCTAAAAGAGCCATATTGAATTGTAATGTTTCCGCTTTCTCAATAAAAGAAAAATATTTTTTTTCAAGAATAGGAAATTAGCCTTTATATGTTTTAATAAATTGATATGAACATTAAATCATTATATAATTTTAAAAGTAAGTTACGAGAGTTAGATTCAAAATGTATATAAATAGGGAAAGAAAAAAGTCACCAAAGAAAATATAAAGTTTATCTATGCCTTAACAGAAACAGATAATAAAAATGTTATCAAATTTACAGTTTTTTCCACGAATGTATAATAACACAATTTACTCGGAATATTATTAGAAACAGAAGAAAATTCTTCTTTTATTAATTAGTCAGTTATCTCAAAGTATGTTAATTATAAAACCAAAATAATGCATAAATCTATCTAACTTTTATATAGAAGAGAGCTCCCAGAATGGCGAATCTACAAGCAAGTCTTCAACTTGGTCTAAGGGATATACAGATGGTACGCATTTTTTTTAAAAATTTAGTTCTTAATTATTGGTTAACATAAAATTCTGTTGTAATGGTAGTGTAAAACTTTTGTTACGGTCTGATTATACTGTGAGAATTATGTTCATAAACTTAGAATAAAGTAAAGTATTGAGCAACAGTGTAGCTCGTTCACCAGGAGTTGACACTTGGCTGCCTCTTCATCACGTGGTATGCGACGATACTATTTCGCTATTTTTGGGAGTAGGTTGTGAGCAATCCAGAACAAGATTGCTATTTGGCAAAAATATTTATTTCGCAAACTTTAAGTACATTTTTTTAACATTAAATGTTTCTTGAATTTTATGATATTTCGCGCCATTTTTTATGATATTTCTTTCTTTTGAGTGAATAATTTGTCCTTTTTAAGAAATTTTGCTGAGAAAACAGCAGTTTTTTAATTTAAAGTATATTTAATTAGATAGGTATAATAGCAAATGATAAAGCAAAGTAAGTGACTGAAAAAGAAAGTCACTGTTTGTGTTTGGCGTGCATTAAGGGTTGTCTCAATTTCAAGCGCGAAGATGTTTCTCTTCTTACTCCTACGCTGAAAGGAACTCTGCCCTCGAGGAGGTGGAGCCAAGTGCCAACTTGGTGAACGAACTATATCTAGCGACGATGTGAAAGACAGAACTAACCTTGCTGGCTGTGCAGAGGGCGTTATATCACTCAGCTGAAGTTGATCCAAAAAAATGTGTGGATGAACCGTTTTTTTGCGAATTAACAGCAAATCGAGCGTTTATATATAATTTAATGTGTGTAATAAGACTCAATAAAACCTAAACGGAAAAAGGTTTGAACCAATATATCACGGGCTTTCAACCCAAACGTTAAATATTTTCGCTTCAGAAAACTCCGATGTTGGCGCTGTTGATGCGTCTGTAATTATGTACAATCGATTTCAAGTTGGCTTGAAGGTACTAAAGTTCGGCGTTAAAGTACAGGAACTAAAGTTCACCCTTAAAATGTGTATGAATGGTTTTAGTTATGTAGTAAGGATGTTTAGATCTGTAAACAGTATTAAGTAATTTTATAATGTATAATTACTATCTAATTCTGCTCTATTAAGTCTAGTTCGAATTCGTCGTAATGTTCACTCTGTGCTATGCGTATGCTTAATTTACAATTTATTTTAAGAATTAGTGTACTTATGCCTCCTAAATTAATGATTCTTACTTTATATTGTCTTGTAAAATAACTTTACTGACTCTTGTATGCTTATTATCTTACGGTAATTATAATTGTTTGTGTTACTAATTACAAAAAATGGCTACAATTTTAGGCCCCGTAGTGTAAAGAACATTCTTGGTGTTTCAATGGACCAGGAACTGTCCTTGGTTCTACACCACTTTGGTATAAAGTAGTAGTCTCAACAATACCTCAAAAATGTATCTGCAAAACTAGCGCTTTCATATGCATAAACTCCTGCATCGTATTTTGTAATTTTAGGTCACAAGAAATTTAAATTTTAAGTGCATAGTAATTTTAAAAATGCATGAAAGTACTTCAGTAGAAGTTAAAACATGTAATTTTAAAACATATTTTACTATAGAAACGTGAAGATTTATACCACTGTTGGTTTATTTAAAATGTCTATTTTACTATTTAAGCAAACTTATATAACATTTTTACGACTAGCATTTGCTAAGAAATACTTCCTCTCTTGCAATATTAAAGTTCATTTTTATTTTAAAATATTCTATAATTTAATATACTTTCTAAATGAAAAAATTCATTTTAAGCTAATTAATATTTCTAGAAGCTGTATTAAGTGAAAAAAATTTATTTTAGGGAATAAAGCTAAAGACGGTGATGATAATGGCGGTTTTTCATCATGGTCTTCTGGTTATAAAGAAGGTGCAACTTTTTTCTAAGCTCTTTTACCATAAATATAATAATTAGCTTTGGCGATATCAGCAGTATTTTGTTATTATAGCAATTAATTTTTATTATTTTATCATCTTTCTATTTAAAAAGCTAAATTTTATAATGTAATCATCCAAAATAATTAAATTTAAAAATATCATTCATATATTTATGTAAAATGATTGACTGAAGTGTTCTGTTAATATTATAATTTACTCACTTGCATCTAATACATTACTGAATATCTAACCTTAATATAGTAGAAAATTCTTATTGTTATAAAGTTTAGCTTGGTTTAGTATTTAACGGAATAAAAGAGGCTAAATTAATATGGAAAATTCATTTTCTAAAAAAATACGCTGCCTGTTTTAAAATTCTGCTGTTGTATTTAGTATTGTAAGATATATTCTAATGTAGTGTTGTTGTTTTTTTATATCCTTTTTTTAACCAAAGATATTTAGAAAGAATTTTTCTAATAGAGTGCAGAGTACTCAAAATGTTTCTTCTTTTTTCCAATCTCTAGCTCATAGCATCAAATATATTTTTTATTGAATTATTCTTTACGTATTTTTTTATTAATATTCAAAATTCAAGACTTTTTTTTAACAAACAAATACCATAATGTTTTACAAAAGAAATTTGTCATAATTTTGAAATTTTAAAGCTTTTTAAGCAATTATGTCATTTTTGAAAATTAATTCTGACTCAAAATTTATATGCATATTTATGTAATAAGTGCGCTGTTATTAAAAACAATAATTTACATAAATTTTGAAAAAATAAAACCGTTTTTGCTGTGAAATATTTATTATATTTGACGATTCCTTTCATCGTACGCTATAACATCTTTAAAATAGATATATCACAAATACATATCAAATTGAAAAAATGAAAATAGGCTTATTTGATGTTTTAAAAACTTATCTAATGAAATAACACCAGACTTGTCCCCCTTCCTCTCCCTTAAGGCTAGAGTGACTCTCAAGAGATGAGTCTCATTTTGGATATAGCAATAAAGAAAACGAAGGAAATAAAAATATTACCATCGAAGCCGACGTCTTCAGGGGGTACCGGCCTTGGAAGCCATAAAACAAAACCTTTTCTATTGAGAGAGAGGCCAAATTAAATGCCAAAATTAACTCTCTTAGTACCCCGAAGGTTTTGTATAAGTCCAGGAAAAAATACATGAAAAACATAAAACCAATTCAGAAAAAAAATTCAAACAAAATCTTGAGAAAATAAAAACTCACATTAAACCGATCAAACAGCGATTTCACAACAAACTAAATGCAAAGGAAACGCTTAAAACAAAAGAAAACAACGCCCTCTATTGAAATGTGCAGAATAAAAAAAAAAAAGAAGAGATGTAAAAGAAAAGATTATGTAACAAATTAATATAATGCTTTTTTTTTAGCTCTTAAGCTCGTTTCTTTCAAAGATAGTTTTGTCAATTTAGAATTAAATGCTTTGAATTCTTTTACTCTTGTTTTGAATACTTATTTCTGGAAAATCTGAATCTTCAATAAAATAAATAGGGTTTCCTTTTTAAGGATTTGAAGTTGGCCCCACTCCAACAATATGGGGTTGAAATTCCTGGAGAGGGGGTTCGAGTTTGGTATCATTGAATCTTATGGAAATATTTCTCGCTTGCATTGTTCTGGACCGTTTCCATACTTATTTATACTATACATACTTGCATTTTCACAACGTAACATTAATAAAATCATATTTTGTTAGAAAATGGTGTTCGAACTGCTGAGTGGGATGATTCAACTTCATCTTGGTCTTCAGGATCTAAAAATGGTAATATCTTTAAATCGTAAAGGAAGCTTTTGATTCTAAAAACAATCCGAACAATCCAAGTTCTTCCAATCTAACCAAACTTTTTTGTTCAATTTAAATGAACTACTTTTTTTAACTTTTTAAACATTGTGACCAAGCCAAGGTACAATTTTATACCATTTAAATACTTAATTTATAATTTATGCTATTTTCATAAAATTCTCTGAAATTTTTTATTTAAACCTTTATATATGCGTATAACTATATCTTATTTAGTAAAAATTCCTATCTTCCGCTATGCTTTTTAAGTTTCATTTCTTTATCTTTATAGAGCAGCGTATATATTACATTTTAATTTTCTAGCACATCTTATTGATTATTAACGTATCGTAATATATTAATGAAATATATTACGATAAAATACTGAATAACTAATTAATCTTATACATTCGATAATATTTTATGTTTTTTATTAATTTAATGTAATTCTCATTCTTTTAAATTCAATCAATTTTGTGAGTTTTTCAAAATTAGTTAGATTCTCTTGCTAATATATCGAATTTCAACTTTCTAAAATACTACTGTCTTCAGTTAAACTTTTTTAGCACTTTAATACTATTGTATGTTAATTATTCTTTTGGTTGTGAACCTTAATCTTATTTCCTACAAAATGAGTGCTCATATGTAATCATTATTATTATTATGCTCACAAATATCATTAAACTCAATGTTAAAGTTCAATAATTAAATTTGAAACATGAGCTATAACTTAGTATTGAACTATAATATTTATAGTGTTTATGTAATATAGCCTAACATTTACGAAGGGGTGGTTGCATGGTGAAGTGTGACACCTTGTGAGAAAGGAGGTAAGGTCAAGTATATTGCAAAAAGTGTTTCATCATTAATAAACATTTTTCAACAAATCGATAATTTAATTTTATTATTTTATCTATTTTCGTAGTATATTTTAATGATTTCATAGTTTATGCATTTGAAAGCATTCTAAATGTATGAGATGAAACTCATGCGAATGAGAAAGAAATTGCGTATATTGCTTTCGTGTACTTATGGATGGAACAAATCTTCATATTTTAAAATTTGTGCTTTCAAAAAACATTTTATTAAAATAATTTTATAATATTCGTAAAGGTAAATAACTTCTTTAATGTTAGTCTGGTTAAATTAAAGGAAGTCTCTTATTATTGAAGTTTCCACTGTCAGTAAGAATTTTTTATTGGTGTGTAAAATAAATAATAAACCATGGCATTTAAAGTACTTAGTTTCTTACTCCATATACTCCAATTTCGTGAAAAAAACTGTTTTTGAAAAATGTTTCTTATTACGGAAACTCTGTAAATAAGGTAACGGGTGTTCTGTAATGACCCCGTTTTATATGGAATTTTTCGATTCTTATCAAATTTAAAGTCAAAAAATTATACACATTCGCAGCTGCACATAAATATTTCAGTAAAGAAAAAACTAATTTATTGATTGTTCTATGAAGCTTGTTTCAGTTTTTGATAATCCCTTTTCTACTCCTCTCTATTTCCACCGGCACTCAAACCTGTTCTGATATTTTCAGTTTTGCCCTCTTGAGTTGCGATTCGTAAGATTTTGATAGTGTTTTTGTTCCTAGTTAGATATTAATTGGTCAATAGTTTGATATCAATTGATTCTAATGTGTATACACTTTTGACAACATTTTGGCTTGCCTTTTAAAATTATACATTATAATTGATAATGGAACGCTTGTATTCATGACGTTAAATTTAAGTAAATTTGACAGAAGTGGAGTATTTTTTTAAAAAAACACTGCATCTTTGTAGTTATAAATGAAATGGTTTTAGCATTTTAATGTTTTTAAGAAATTGTTTAAAACATGCTATGATTTTCTTTGTTTCAGATTAAAGCGAGAATGTAATTGATACTATTAGCAGCTCTTCTTTAGAACGTGAAGAGGATAAGAAAAAGTATCAACAACTAACACTTAAAGGACATTTCTAATAAATATTTTTTTATTAACTTTATGATATAAATATCTACAATTTTTGTAAAATATATTTTTTTGCATGGACCAATAAAGCGACGAACAGCATAAATCATATATCATGAGTTTTTTTATTTTTTATACTCTAAAACACATTTTCATGAAAAAAAATTCCCTATAATAAAACAACAATATTTATTTGGACATTGAGAAAGTGTTAAGCTAAACTGTATTAGCATTCAACAAAATGAACTTTTAAAAAGAAAATTTTAAATTTTATTACAAAAAATAAACAACTACAAGTCTTAAATCTTTTGCACTCTTTTTCTTCTGTAAACTCCATAATTTTAGATACTTATATTACATACGTTAATATACTTTTTTCGATGCAGAAATCATTTAAAAATTGTTTTATACATAAAATTTCGAATCAATATGTTATATGATAACGGATATCTACATGGAAAAAACAATTCTGGCAAAATCACCATCACCACACAAGGGTATTTCAAGTAAAAGAAACTGCAATTTTAAAAATTAAACCAAAGCATGAGGTATTTAAACTGTTCATATGGTAATTTTACCGTTCGATGTTGTTACTGTTTTCCGGAAATACTGCTTTATAAAATTATAGCTCTTATTACAATACATTTAATAACAAATACGAATCTCGAAAGTAAAATGTAACTAAATAAATAGTTTTTATGCCATGGTCTAAAATATCACGTAAAATTACCAAAAGGATTTTCTGAATTATATATCATTTTGCGATTTATTTGGCAATTTTAACTTAATCATGTCTTTGCTTTTTACCAAAAAGAAAAGTAATTATCTGTTTAAGCCTTCTACGGTTTATTTAAAATGGCAATTTATTTAAATGGTTGATAGGAGTAAAATGACTGTTAACCATTCATTATTCTAATATAATTTCTCAATTGTAAAATGGGTCCCGCAGTGGACTGATCGTTAAGACACGGTTCCCAGCAGATCACCGAAGTCAAGCATCACTGGCTGCGGTCAGTGTGCGGGTGGGTGACCACTTGGATCAGTCTGCGTAGGGACCGAGGGTGTGCGGTATTGGTCCTCGTTAAACTATGCTACCGTAAAGTGCTCGACTTCGCGGACAGGTCGTTGGGCTACCGAAGCGGGGGTGCCATCCCCTCTGCAGAGGATCAAAATTGTGATGGCATGTCTTCAGATCATCCTCAGAGATGTTTCCCAGACCGTCACCAATAGCGCATTGTGCAGCTCTAGTGCGACGTAAATGAACTACAACAACAATTGTAAAATGGAACAAGAATGATAACTTTAAATGCTTAATTAAATTGTTATAAAACTCAGATATATTATACTGTAGGGACTGTTTTATCCATCTTTTATAAGGTAGTGGGATTTATTCATTTTTTTGCATACATATGTGGGTTTCCTAGTGAAAACAAAAAAACAGCTTAAAAAGTCTTTTTAGTTTTAAAAACAAATCGCACAATTTCACGAAAGGTAGCAAGAATACCCATCGAATGCTAAAGTGGGATACGAACCCTCTACATAAACACTTCTGAACGGTTAGCGGAATAGCAATACTTCATGGCGATGCTCAAGTATATATTATTAGGGTCACCAGTGCCGTGAGGTATTGTTCTTCTGCCAAACACGCTCAGAAGAGTAAGGGTAGTGGGTTCAATATGTTTGTGCTGTTTTTTATGCTATCTGCTCTGCAATTTGACAAACGACAAGCAATTATTTGTATTAAGTGAATGATCATGTATATGTATCTAAACCGAATTTATTTATTATATATTACACACCCATGGTTACACTTTGATTCGAAACCACTAACTGGATGGATTTTATATAGCATTCGGAAAGACAAGACTGGTATAAAAACTCTAAAAAAAATCATTACTATTCCAAGAATATATTATTTTTATTTATTGTTACACATACATATGCAGGTTTGTTTGCTCATTACAAAATACGATTTATTATAAACCCTTTTCAAGTTGAAAAACAGATATCACAAGTTAGAGATAAACATAAAAAAACAAAATACATCCATTATCATCGTGAGATTCGAACCCTTTACCTCTACGTTACAGAGCATTTGATGGAACGGTCAGGAGCAGTCAGGAAAATTCCATGAAAAACTGCTGGCTATGTTCATTTTATTACTCTTTGATGATATCAGTGAACACTAACTGATATGAATAGATCCAAGACTTATTGTGTTCGGTTAAGGAAAAAGCCATTATTAGATCCATATTATCGTGTTATACTCGGGAAAATGAAGCAAAACATCGCATTGGGAAATCTCTTTCAAATTCCATTAGTAGTCTGTACCGCAGTAGACTGATCATTAAGACACGGTTCCCAGCAGATCACCGATGTAAGCATCACTGGCTGCGGTCAGTGTGCGGGTGGGTGACCACTTCGATCAGTCTGCGTAGGGACCGAGGGTGTGCGGTATTGGTCCTCGTTAAACTATGCTACCGTAAAGTGCTCGACTTCGCGTGCAGGTCGTCGGGCTACCGAAGCGGGGGTGCCATCCCCTCCGCAGAGGATCAAAATTGTGATGGCATGTCTTCGGATCATCCTCAGGGATGTTTCCCAGACCGTCGCCAATAGCCCATTGTGCAGCTCTAGTGCGACGTAAATGAACAACAAGAACATTAGTAGTCTCAGAAATTTTAAGATATTCTTTGGTTAAAAGAATACAGCTAGCTTTTCATTCCTCGTTAAAATTTAAAACTTTAATAAATCAAATATTTGAAAACAACTTCTCAGTTCTAATTTCTCTTGAAAATCCTGAAATTTTAGGATTCAATTTAAATGTTTTGCTACAAGACATTACAGAAATTGAACGTGTATGATGGAATTGTATATAGGTAAGAATGGTTTTCGTTATAGATAATAAGAATTTTCCACCAGTTTTCAGTTTCATTAGAAGACAATGTTTATAGTAAATACCTGATACTCAGGATACATGCGAAATAAAATGTTTCTTTTTTTTATATATTTGCAGAATAAGTCTTGTATGCTCACTACAAAACCTAATATTTAAGTCCTTTTCAAATTTAAGAAAAGATTGCTCAAGTTGGAAAAAAATTACAAAGATACGTTTGTTGCAACGTGGAGGCTAATTTATCAAATAAAAGTCATTTTCCGAAAATAAATGTCATTTTCTTTTTAAAAAGAGAAAAGAAACTGTCATTTTATATATTACCTGCAAAATGTAGAGTTACGCAAGAACTTAGAAATTAATAACTCAAAGCAATAAAACTTAATTTGCCTTTAATTTTTAAGCTTATACAGTTTTTCCAAAGGAAATATTTAAGTCTTCAATAAAAAAAAAGTTAAAAGCCCATCATCATAAATATATCTTAATTTTAATACTTTTCTACATTAAATCTTATCTCTTGAGAAAAAAAATATTTCCCTAATTATTTAAAACTTATCAACAAATTATGAATTTTAATTATTTGTATTTCTTTTTTAGCCCGTTTTAGTAGTAGAATCAATGTTTTGCTAATTATTAAGCCACTTTCAAACTGTTAAGTATTATTAGCTTAGATTATGTACACTAATATGTTTGTACTCTGTATCTTACCATTGATATTTTATTGTTATTACACTACCCACTGTCGATGAGGTTATTATTTTTCTTTTTCAATTTAAATATCATTGGAGTTTATTGAATGAATTGTAAATTATTATTTAAGTGAGGAGGGAAAAGATGCTGAAGACATCTGTTAAATCTCAAATGAGGAAATCGGAAAGAAAGCAATAAAACCAATTTGATGGCCTGATTAAACTTGGAGATTTTTCGAACAATCACCTTTTGCCCTTTCACAATCTTTTTCTTTTTTCCGGCAGTCAAATTTTTATGTTTTCAATCCTCAATTTTTCTTTATTTCTTGTATTTAATAGGCATTTCTGTTTTGTTTTTTTTTTCCTCGCTTAAAGATTGAGTTGAAACTCCCGATGTGTCAATTTTTTCTTTACTTCATTTTTAAAAAGAATTCTAAAAATATACATAATGGGTAGTCATTATGGAACACCCTGTATTTAGTGTTAGATAAAGAATAAAGGATACAATGACAAGGTAAATAAAGTTTGGTCAAGTTCTATTAAAATTTCCTACCAAATTCATTCATGCCCAAAAATTTCAAATTGCACAAATCCAAAATCAATTACTAGAGGGACATTTTGCTTTAATATTAATAATCTTATCTATTATTGTTATAATCAAGAAATAATCCATTCTTTAAAATTTTACAGAAAATCACTTAATATTAAGTGTGGAGATAGTTTAATTTTTTTTCAATCGTTTTAAGTGTTTCAGAAAATTTAAACTAAATTTTTCAGGGAAATAAAATTTTGTGTTGATTTGATGAAATTCTTTGTAGAGTCCTCTACTTAAATCAAAAACTAGAATTGATTATTCGTATTTCGCTCGTACATAAATTTAATATCTAAATCTAAAACAAATTACATAAAAAATTTTGCCAAGCATAGAATTTTTTAAAATGTGGTCAATACTGTTTAAAATGTGGTAAATGTTTCAATGAAATATGCTTAAATTACGTTCAGTAAGACACAAAAAAGTTTCGTTCAGGAAAATTATTTTATTTAAGAAATTAAATGGTGCGTATGGATACCATTGGCCAAATCAATGGACAAACCTTTCAGTTGAACACGAGTTTTTTTCATTTTATTTGTTTTGCTTTTGTTTTATTTATGGAACTTGCCCCTTTAATCCAACATAATAACGTATGATAAATCTTAAATGGAATAATTATAAATTTTCATTAAGTCGAAATTGCCAATAACCGCTTCAAGTTGAGAAACTAGAGCAGTTTAAAAATTTCTGAACAGAAAGTGCTTGCTTCAATGGAATAACTAATATTTTACCGATGTCCCCTGTGTCTTCAGTACCTTTGGCAATAGCAGAAAATTAAAATTAGTGAAAAATATGCGTCACAATGTTAATAATAAAATATTTATGAAATAGTGCGTTTACACACCTTTGGTCAAACACGTGTTTAAAACATAAGTTCCCAACGAAAACAGGTAAGAAAAAAAACAAGCTAAATGAATAAAACACAATTTCGAGAAGAGGT